TGCTGCGTCCGCCTTCAAGAGCGCGTTTGGGGCTGCCTTGCCAGCGGACAAAGTGAAGGTGTCACCTTTTCCTGTAATTGAAGAAGGGTCCTACTCCACAATGACAGACGATGATGCGGATCTGGAACTCAGCTTGCCGGCGGAAGAGCCCGCTGAGGTTACCACATCGTACGAAGACTGCAGCTCTTCTGCAGCTTCAGAGAAGAACGTCCACTCGGACTCTTCCAGCGACGCTGCGCGGCCGTCTGATGTAGTGGGTGCGAAGGGCGGATTCAGCCCATCGTTTTCTTTTGGGGCAAACATCGCTGTCAAGAGTGACAGTGTACCCACCGCCGTTCCCAGCGGCGGTGGTGGGGGTCTTTTTGGTAAAGGTCCCAATCCGTTTGGCGCTGCCAACGCGAAGGAAGGGGACGCTAAACCTTTTGTTTTCGGTGCCGCTTTTGAGAACAATAAAAACACTGCTGTTGCCACGGAAAGCGCAGGCATATTTGGCGCTGTTGGGGGCGCAGCAAGGCCCTTCAGCAGCAGCAGCGCGAAGGACGGCGGCGGCGCAGCTTTCTCCTTTGGTGCAGATTCTCTCAAAAAGGGTGACAGACCTGCAGGAGCTGTGCCAACTCGTGGCGCTGCAGGTGCCGTCGGCAGTCAACCAAAACACATGGATCCTGCGAATGTCAAAAAGGACGACGACACGCCGGCAAAGCGGAGTGTCGAAGGCAACACCACAATCAACGAGGGTGTTTCCGGCAACGCAGTGGCCGTTGATGTCGCTGCGCCTCCACCGCTTAACAACGATGCCTCCGCTGTAGTGCGAACTCCAGACGTTTTAGCACCACTGTTCTCGTTGGAGGATGTCCATAGAGTTGTTTCTGAGGCCTTGTGCGAACAACGGGAGGCAATGAAGGCGGAATGGGACGCGTTTCGCAAGGATCTCTTATTTGACATTCGACAGGCTGTGTCGGAAGCAAGCACGCGTAATGTCGTGGGCGAAAGGGCTGATTTTGAAGAACCCGCCGCAGAGATGAACGAATCTCTAGTGCGACGACATCTATCAAAGGCGTTTCGTAAGTACTAATCTACTGTCTTTGTGAGTTTAAAGTTGGCATAGATGTGAGACAAAACAAAAGAAAAAGATCAACGGTTTTTTTTTGGATGCGTGCCGAAACGCGTGAGTGAGACGTAGGTTGAGTAGAATGTTGGCGCTGATGAGCCCAAGGGCACCCGTAATGGTTCGGAATGAAGAGCAAAACAACAGCTGAACCAGCTGCTTTCATGTTCTTGACAGGAACACGACATCCTTTCTTTTTGGTGGGCCCCGGCGTAAGTGCATATTTTATTTATTTATCCTTCCGCCAACAGTGGCACCACATGTATGCCCTCTCGCAAAAAGTCGTTCCACTAGTTTCGTGCATGCACTCCACATTTTCGCCTCGTTTGGTCTCATTTTAATTCTTCTTCTGTGAATCTTGAAAAACGCCTCTGCCAACGCAGTGTGATTTTGCACGTGGCTCTCCCCCTCCCCCCAAAAGGAAGTTAGTAATTGCTGCGGCTGTCTCTCTCTCTTTTCCTTTGCAGTGTTCCGCTTTTGCGTTTCGCTCTTTTTTTTTCCAGCGGAGGAAGAGGTTAAACTTTCCATGCCTCCGCCAACCCGACTCGACGCGCTGTGCGAAGCGTCGTCAAACGCGCGTCTTGCTGAACTGGAAAGCTTTCGCAGACTGTGCGACCGGGTGCATTCTCTGAGGGAGAGTGTTAACGACTTATGCAATCGGCGAATCCCTGCAATTGAGCGGTCAATTGAACAGTTCCACGACAGTCACCTTTATCGTCCGCTGGAGACAGAGAAGGACTTTGTTGAGGAGGCTGCCGTGCACTCCGTTGGTCTCTTGTTGGGCGCGATTGATTCTTTGTACTTGCATGCACAGACGGTCCCCCACCAAAAACATTCCGCTTCTAAACGTTGTGCCTCTGCTGCATCGCAGGTGAGCGAATCTGTTACGTTCGCTGTGGGCTACTCTCCCGAGTTTACACTCAGTGACAGAGATACGTATCGGTACGCGGCTAAGCAGGATGATTCACCGAACCGGATTGCAGAGGTAGCACGTGAGCCGCGGCTTATTAAAGGCATCCCTCAAGCGACGCTTGACGTACCGTTTGCCAGCGGCCGCGGGCACACGACGGAATCCGCAGCGTTTAAGAACAGTAATTCCACGCGGAAAGACACGCCTCCAGCCTTAGAGAACACCTCACGTTTTCCCGCTCGCGGAGACCTTGCGGACCGAACAACGCAAGTGCCGATGAATCGTCCGGAAAATGCAACTCCCAAAACTGCTTCGCAAGTTGAAAGAAAGACAATGGAGAGCAAGCCCGCCGGTGGCGGCTTTGGGTTTGCTGTCGGGAAGGACGCACCTGCTGCTGCTCCTGCTGCGGAGAGCAAGCCCGCCGGTGGCGGCTTTGGGTTTGCTGTCGGGAAGGACGCACCTGCTGCTGCTCCCGGTGCTGTCGCTGCTCCAGCCAGCGGATTCACAAAAGCACCTGCGCAAGGCGGGTTTGGCCAGAGCTCTGCGTTCGGGCAGGCTTCGGCTCCCGGTGCTGTCGCTGCTCCAGCCAGCGGATTCACAAAAGCACCTGCGCAAGGCGGGTTTGGCCAGAGCTCTGCGTTCGGGCAGGCTTCGGCTCCAGTTAGCGAGTTTGGCAACGCTGGTGCTGGGGGCGGGTTTGGAGGGGCTGCCGGACAGCCAGCCGGTGTCGCAGGGCAGGGGGCAAATGCAGACAACCAACTCGCATATGGCTCGCGCAGCGCCTTCACGAGTGCCTTTGGAGGGCCATCGAGTGGCGGCGGCTTCTCTGCCGTGCCGAAAAGTGCCTTTTCGGGTGGCGGCAATGCGGGCGGTGCGTTCGCCGCTTCTTCCTTCAACTCTATTGCAGGCAATTTTCAGCAGGGCAACCAAAACGGGTTGCTGTTTGGAGGCCAGCAGTAAAGGGTGATGTGCGTTGTTGCCGCTGCGAAAGCGAAGGTAGGACAATATAAAGCAGCTTTCCACCGTAGTGTGGCGAGATCGTCGGGCTCGTTTCATAAAAAGCAAGAAAAACGAGGACGCACAGGTTCACTGAATGCTCTGCTCGCGTTATCACTGAGTGAAAGAAAGAAAGCTATGTAGATGTTGGGGGAACAAAAAGTGGGTTAGGAATGGCTTCGTAGAAAGGATAACCACCGGTACAATCAAGGCAAACCTCGGCGTAAACGCGATACGGTTGCGACCTGGAGAGCCATGTAAATGTGATGCGTGTGATCTCGAGAAACGAAGGCCTTCCCGTGACGGACTTCACTGGAGACACAAGGTGACACAGAGTCCTCTCTGTTATTTTCCCGGCGGTGCGCGACGGTTGCACGACACTGCGGCTCCTCCCCTGCTTTGTTTTTGAACTTCGTGAATGTGTCGTTACGGAGGTAATGCGAGAAAAAGATGAGCATCGAGGGAGGTTGCTCCCCCTCAACGGACGTCTGTCCTTCACGATAAGCGGCTCAACAGGCAACCGCAACCCAAGCATTGAAATCAAGTGCCTTTTCCTTCTTCCCGTTTCCTTTTCTTTATCTGTATTGTGCACTTTTAACCTCTTTTCTGCGTTGTGAATGGCCCCTCTCCGACCGCCCTGTGCTGCTCTTTCGCTTTGGCAGGAGCACATTGACAGAGACGGTGATGACAAACAAAGGGTATTCAGCAAGCAATTAAAATTAATTATCGTGGAAAGCAGTCTACGTATTTCCAACATGACTGATTCTCTCATCATTCGCGACGTGGAGGTGGGAGACTTGGCGCAGGTGTTGGAGCTGCTGAGTCACCTCACGTCAGCACCAGCGCTTTCACAAATCGAATTGGAAATGCTTCACAACCGCCGTGTGATGGCGGGAGTGCGGACATTGGTCGCCGTCGACCCGGAGGCGCGAGAAATTGTGGGAACGGCGTCTCTCTTAGTAGAGCCCAAGTTCACGCGAGGCGGCAAGAGTGTCGGACACGTGGAGGATGTCGTCACACATCCCCGTTGCCGAGGAAAGGGTATTGGGCAGAAGCTGCTACAACGGCTAGTGGAGGCGGCGAAGGAGCACGACTGCTACAAAGTCATTCTGGACTGCTCCGACAACACAATCGCTTACTACTCCAAAGCCGGTTTTAGAAAATGCGAGAATCAAATGCGGCTAGACATTGTGTAGGGCACGCAACTAGCGCTCAGCGAAAATAGGCTTTTTTGTCGATCGAGGTAGCTGCTCCGTCTCTTCCTTCCATGACTGTTTTATTGCGTTTTCATGATGACCTTCGTGAAACGACCAAAGAAGGACAGCACAGTTTCTCGGGTTTCGAGGGCGCCCCCCTAGGTGTACCCAACTTGTGCTATACACGTCTGCTTTCCTGCACTCTACAAGATAAAACGACAATGAGGACAAGTAGTAAAAAAAAAAGAATAAAAGAGGCGGTCGGGGGACAGCATCGAGTGCGCATTGCCAGCGGGTTTAGCCCTTTTTTGTATCGCCACGCTTTTGCGAAGCACTTTTTTCATTTTTATTGCTTTTTTTTTTGGGAGTAGAGAAGGCATGCCGTTGAGACGGCTGTGACACGACTGCTTTGGGCTGCGGCGCAACAGCAATGGTGAGCGCAATGTTCGCCAAGGCTGCGAAGGAACTCCGTCGTCATCTTTCTCTTCTACTATTTCCAGGAGCGGGTTTACGTTTCACTTTCTACTTCGTGCGACATGGGCAAAGCTATTAGTTTCTCTCTTCTCTCTTCTGTTTGACTTGCATTGCATCTTTTGTTTAATCTTCTCTCATGCACAGAAATATCACGTGGCGTAATTAAGGTCTGCGTGGCGGCGAAGGCGATGCATCGTCGACTAAGGTCATTGGTAGCGGCACAGCGTAGCTGCCATCGCTTCTTCTCCGAGTTCAATTCCGGAAGCGTCCTTGGCACGCCCGTCCTATCTGGCAGCCTGCTGAAAGACATGCAGGAGGACCTAAAACACGAAAATGAGCTTCACACGCGCGGGATGGGTGAGACGCTGCAGAACTTCGTCAACCGCGCTGAGCTGACGCACATGGAAAGCCCCGAGGCGGATGAGAAATTTATGAAAAACTTGGAGTCGAAGGTCGACGACCTCTTCTCCCGCATTCCGCTGCCCGAGGACCCGATGCGAGCAGCCCTGGCACTAACCGATGAGGAGGTGAAGGAGGAGGCGGCGGCCGAGCTGGTAAAAGAGGCGGTACGTGAGATGTACTGGCGTAAGCTGGACGCCAAGAAGGCGGAAGAGCTCCGCCTGAAGCACGCACAGGAGAAATACGCGAAACAGGGAATGCGACAGTACTTCGACGATCTGAAAGAAAATGAGAAAATGCGCGAGCGTTATTCGAGCGTGCTGAACGGCGGTGCGACGAGCACAACCACGTCACGTCCGTGTTCGCGAGAGCAAGACAAGACGACGTCCTCCACATCGGCAGCTGTGCGTGGCGATGAGGACGGCGATGTTGCGGATGCGACGGCAGAGGAGCTGCGGGCGGAGTTGGCCGCCATGAAGGCGAAGATGGCGAAGTTGGAGGAGATGCTGCGCGCCAAGAAGTAGAACACGAAAAGCCGAAGCGCTGGTTGTACCTATTTCGCTTTATTTCCTCTTACTCGTTTACAAGGGCTGCTTTATAAATCTATTGTTGCAAAAGCTGTCTGGCAGTTACAGAAAACAAGAATTCACAGCTGGGTTCTTCTCTTCTTATACACTCTCCACTTTTGCGACACTTATCAACGATTAAGCGTAAGAACGCCAAGCTTAATACACATAAAAAGGATGTCTTAACTCCACGGCAAACGTTGGCCAGCTCGGAGTTTCCATTACGGGTCTTTTCTTTTCCTCCTCTACGTCGTTTGACCACTGTGCGCCTTTTTCTCTCCGATATGCTGTTTATGGGAAGGGAAAAGAACTCCTTTTTCTGGTCTTTGCAGGTCCAAGGAGTACTCTGACGTGCTCTGTATTAGTTCAAGTTTCCCAGCCCTCCTCGCACTTTTATGACTATCATCTTTTTTTTGTTGTTGTCCCCCTTCCTGATCGTTATTCGTATACGTAGTAGTAGTAGCATCCCCTTTCTCTGGAAAACAGCGGTCAAGGATGAACCGTCTGTTTACGAGCAGCGCAGATCTGCGCGGGTGCACCGCTGTCGTGCTGGGTAGCTTCAGTTGCCAAAAGCGCTTTTGGTCAAAACCGAAGAAACGACCGAAGGTTGGCACCGGCTTCCACGAGAAGGCGCAGAGGTGGCGCGATGAGTATTTGCTAGACAGCCACCGCGTTCTTGCCGACAGCCTGCGCGCCTACGTCGACTTCAGCTCGACGAAACGATCTGAGCCGTGGGACACCCGCTTTGCCCCATTTGACCGCGTGGAGAAAGATGGCGTGTACATCATCACGCGCTATCTGATGGATGACAAGTTGCAGCTGTGCAACTACCACCACCGCCCTGTGAAGCGGATGCTGTGTAATGTGGGGTTGATGGGCCCGCAGGTGACGACGACGGCGCGGTGGAAGCCCTATCGCTATGCCACGAATCCCGCGAACACCACGAGGGCCGAGCGCACCTTTACCAAGGACAAGACGGTGCTTACGGGCTATCACCACGATTGAAGTTGTTGCTCACCTTCCTCTACACGGCAGCCGAGTGATGGAGGGGAAGGTTAAACGTGCTGCTCATTCCCCTCTTTACTTCTTCCGTCTGCACAGACATGGCTACGGAAGCGTTGTGCGTGTTTTCACTGAGGTGCTGTTTCCATGCAAGTATGTACCATCCGTTGACAGATGTCTGGTACCGGTGCTTCTTTGTCGTCTTTGTTTTTCCCCCTTTTCCGTCTGTGTGAGGGTTGAGTTGATGTGCTGTTGGTTTATAATGGGGTTTGTTTCACAACAACAAGGAGGGGTGTCACGAGAAGTTCTCAGCTTTCTCTCTCGCCGGAAGAGATCTGCGAAGGTGACGAGAAGGCGCGGAGTACAGGCAGTGGAAAGGAAAAAGAGAATACCAGCTTCTGTGTCATCTAGTGACCTTGGGTGGTGCACTTTAAAGCGGCTGTTCATCGTAGCACTGAAATTCGTTTCTTTCTTGTTCGTGCGTGTGCGAGTGCTTTCCTCACCGACGCACTCCTCGGCTTTTTAGCGCTGTGCGATTGCTGAGATGTGCGTGTCTCCTCGGCTTTCAGCAAAGGAAAAGCAAAACAATACCAACTGCGCCTCTTCTTCTTCGTCCTGCGACATATATTTATCTCTTGGCACAGCGGTAGCTGCCCGTACGCAGTTGGACAAACACTTTTACGCAAAGCCCAGCAGAGAGATAGCTGCCCGAATAATGGGCCGCGTAGCGAAGCGGAGCCGCGCAGAGGCGCCACCGTCGATGTCGCAGGACCACCCAACGCCCTCCACCCCCCCAGCAGCGAAGAGCCAGCCAGCTCAGAAGCGCTGCATCACACCTCCGAAGCGTGTGGAATCGAAAAAGTTTGTGCCAGAGCTGGATGATTTGGTCGACACCGACGCGGCGTCTGTGCACAGCGACGATTCAGTGAGGGTGGAAAACTCTCAGGAGAGAGAGGATGCCTTGGTGGCGGCTGGAGGGGAGCTGACCGGCGATGCTTTAAGAGAATTTCTGCAAGCAAACTTTGTAGACTACATAGATGAAAAGCTTTTTGATATCGCGAACTTAGATGCACTCGGTACATAGTACAGACGGCTTCACAAACGCATCTACACACACATACATTTTATGCATGAGCATGATGGCTTTCTCCGTCACAAGAGGAGCGGTGAACGAGAGGACAGCTGTCTTTATCAGACGTTGGGATGAGAGGATGAACTGAAGTAGTAGTTGTTGCTTTCATACATTGCGCCGATGCTGTTGCCTTATTTTTTTTCTTACTTCTGCGAATTAGGTGCATCAGTTGTACATACCAGACGTGCTTTTGTCAAAAATGTATTTACCTCAACTAACACAAGCAATTATTGCATACAATAATTTGCATCCTTTCCAAACTTGCCCGATAAACTTGACATTGCTCAGAGAGCGATTATGTTGCAACTATGCCGTCTCCAACGTGCGAGACTTAGCGCGACGAAAAGCCCTCTACTTTCCAAAAAGGGATATCCGTGCAATGCCTAACCACAGCTGCTTTCTCTTTTCCTCTCTACAAGCGGCTCCAAACACCTCTTTCTGCTTTTCTTTTATTTTTGTTCTCTTTTCCGCTTTTGCTTCTCCTCGAATAAAACTCCACGCATCCTTTCTTCTCCGTGGGTCAACGTAAGCGCTCGTGTCTAATTTCCACCCTTTTGGTGTGTGTGTGTGTGTGTGTGTGTGTGTGCATATTTCTGTTGTTGGTTCCTCTTCCTTTTCTCCTGCGTGCCCCGCTTTTCCGGCTCTCCAGGTTTTTTTTTGTTTAGAAACTCTTTGGTGTGTTCGTCCCTTCCCCTTTCTTCCCTCAGCACGTTGCTCTTTTCAATATGGGTAATACACATTTTGTGTTCTCTCTCTCTCTCTATAGGAAATACGCCCCCAAACAACGTTTAGCGGCTGCGACGATCCACAAGACACGACGATAACACTGACAACATTAGACCAGAGATGTCATCCACGGATTTCTTTGTGGCCATCTCTGGCGAGCCAGCGCGGGCGGCGCCGTTCGGTGCTGCATGCCGTTTTAACAGCCCCGATGAGCAGAGCGTCGTCAAGGACGTGCTGAATCAGAGCGCGGAGCGAATTCTGCTGCTGGCGTTCGTGGTGGACAAGTCCGTCGGCAAAGCGCTGTGCAGGGCAATGTTCACGTATTTTGCAGAGTGCATTGATCCCAGCAAGAACGTCTACGTCCAGTTCAACGTTTCCTTCGTCGAAGAGAAGACGAACAGCTTAATCCAGTACCGCTGCGAGCGTCTGGGCGACATCGACGCCGTCATCGAAGCCGAGGGCGGAGCCCACGACTGCTCCTCCATCTGCGCCACACGCGTCGTGCCGAAGGAGACGTCGTTTGTGTTTGTGGAGCAGCGACTCACGGTGATGCTCTGCACGGCGTCCGAGTACAACTCCGACAAACTCATGCACGTCACGGAGAACGCCGCTGCTATGGTGGGGTGTCAGATCGGGTCTGTTGGCTTCTACATCCCGAGAGACGTGATGTGCAGTCCGGTCAACCTCGAAGAACTGGCGAAGGAAGGGGAGCTGTTTAGGGAGCTGGTGTCGCGGCGCACCATCGGCCACGAGGAGCGCGTGTCGAGTCGCGTACGCCTGCAGGACGTTCGTGCCTGGTCGCTCATGATCAACGAGAAGAACCACTTTAGTGCGGTGGAGCCGGGCCCCTACCTTGTGAGCCTCAACCCGCAGCTCGTCGTCGGCGAGAAGCTGGCCCATTACGTTATGGAGGAGCTCACCTACATGGTGGGTGACAGTGGCAACGCTTCCCCAGTCGACTTCTGCGTGATGCCGCCCGTCGCGGATGGGGATGCGCTGCACCGCAGTGTCTACTCCCCTCATTGCCGATTGCGTCGGGAGGGTTACGCCGTGTACATAAAGCCGGAGTGTGGGATGACGTACGTGAACGGTAAGCTGATCGCCGAGGAGCAGCTGCTGCACCACAACGATCGCATTATCTTAGGGAAGCAGCTCGCGTTTCGCTTTGTCATCGTGGGCACCGAGGTGCCGAAGAATCCAGACTCCCGCATTCTCGACTGGGAACTGTGCTCCAAGGAGTTTCGCCGCGAAAGCGAACGGGTCATCGAGAGCGGAATTCGATCAGCGTTGGAGACAAACAACAACGAACTGCGGGCACGCTGTGAGGAGTTGGAGGGGTTGCTGGAGAACGCGCGGGGAAACTCATGGCTGATGCTGACCAACCCGCCTCCCACCTACAAAGGGCAGTGTCTGTGGCCCTTCGATCTGCGAAAGCGACACAGTGCAGTCACCATCGGGCCCCAGGGCGATGTCGCGCTTCCATTTCTCACCGCCTCAGCCACGCTGAAGCACGCGATGGACGGCCTCATATGCAAATCCGGCAACGCGACCGTCGCGATCAGCAACGGCGCCCGCTTCAACGTCGGTGCGTACACCTTTGCGATGAGTATAGATGAACGCGTCGCGCCGGGCCGCACGCGTAAGGAGTCGACGCTGGACGGCGGCACGTCTGCCGATGCGGTGCTGGAGCTGCAGTCGAGCTTCTTCTCGCTGCAATGGGCCATTGGCGCTCTTTTCGACTTCGTCTTTCCGGTCAAGGGCCGCAGGGTGAAGCGAGAAGGCGACAAGTACTACGCCTACCGAGCCCCGCTGTACGACACGCACCTGCTTGAGGCCCCCGCAGTGCACACGACCGACGTGGTGGCACTGAATACGCAGCTCACGGAGGCGGTGCGGGTGATGGGAGCCGGCTTGGCGAAGGAGATGCGGGAGATGACGGCGGGGTCGCCGCCGCCGTCGCCGTCGTCGTCGCCGTCGCCGTCCCCATCGCCGCGCGGGGATGCGAGCGCAATGGCAAAGGCGGAAGACTTTCTTCGTAGTGTCGCCGCAGACACGGAGCTTACCACGGCGGTCATGCGACAGGTGCACCACGAAATTGGCTCAATCTTGTACGAGAGGTGCAACGGGCAGCAACAGCAGCAGACGTCGCGGCAGACGCAGCTGAGTACCTCACCGAAGTTACCCAAATCACCCAAGTCGGTGCGTGCAAGGCCAAAAGACCGCCTCCACGAGGCCTCGCCGCTGACACCGCCGTCGCCACCGAGCGCGGGCAACACTGAGGGGCGGCTTCTGCGGCTGAAAGGGACGTGCTTCATGTCCTCCCCGAAGGTGCTGCAACGGGCCAGCAACACAGTGACTCTGCTGAGTGTCAGCACCAACGCCAAAGGGCTGTGGGAGCAACACGTGCAGCACGTTGGCACCATTGGGAAGTCCTTCTCACAAACGAAGGGCGACGACGCCAACCTGCTCACCGAACTTCTCTTGCTGATTGTAGATGCTGTCCTCTCCACCGACTACTGCCTGCGCCACCGGCTTCTCAAGCCCCGCGAGGTGGAGAGCCTGGAGCCGAAGCTGGCCCTGTGGCAGAAGTGGGCCGACAAGTGCGTTGGCGCGATGGAGGGCCAAACTCCGTTGTCGCGTTCCGCCTGGAAGCACGAGTCGGCTGTGCAGCGCAAGCCAACACCGCACATCCACCGCAGTGCTGCGAAGCGAGGTGGCGACGCTCCGACGCCGACTCGCAACCCCGCCGATCTCGATCACACCAATGGCTCCCGAAAGACGAGTCTCTCGCGCATGGCGAACAGCTACACGTCGGTGCCGCCACGCCTGACGGGAGACCACAACACCAGCCGCTCCGCCCTCTCCGCCACCTACAGCGGCAAGACGTCGCAAAGCCTCACCTCCTTTGGGACACTGCGTAAATTGAGCGTCTCATCGGCCACCAAAGCGCAATCCGCACGCGGACTGCACAACACCGCACGCCGCAGCTCAACGACGGCGACCCCGAACAGTACGAACAGCACAAATAATACAACGACGAAGCAACGTTCGCCGGCTACGGGGTCGTCTGGAGTGGTTGCCCCCGCCCTCTCTGCACGGCGAAAGGTGGAAGCCGCAACACGCAAAAAGAAGTAGCCGCACTCTTTTTTCTTCTTTTCTCGCATGCAGTTCCTTCTCTCCCTTTGGGCCTTCTCTCATATCAAACAGCGACTCTTGTTTCTCTCTTTCGTTTCTGTGTTCGTGCTTTTTTATTTCTTCTCTTCTGTTTGGATGGCAGAGTTTTTGCTGCGGCGACAGAAGAGTCGGCGATACTATTTTTCTGCCGTTGCCAACCTCGTCTTTTATCCCCGTGTGTGCTTTCGTGCGCTCCTTCGTCGTTTTTCATCGCCTTCTCTCGTTTTCCCCTAGAGAAAACCTGTGAGCCGGATTTCTTATGTTGCTTTTTATTTTCTACTTTTCGGAGAAACACACTCTTTCAAGTGTTTTCAATGCATTGATTTAGATATTTGTTAAACTCGCGTCGCATCTTTCGCCCTTCATTTTTCGTTCTTCTCCTGCTGTGTGCGAGGTATTCTCAGCCGTTTCTCTTCGTCACTTTTCACCCTCACTGCAGCCCCTTTTTTTTTACCTTTTTCCCCCAAACTGCGCACTGGTTTTTTTTTTGATCTCAAATGTGCTTCACTTCTCCTCCTTTTATTATTGTTGTTAAACAGACACGTGTGAAAAGCGGACCGTGTATTGCAGAACGCTGCTAGACCGATAGGTTGAGAGTGTGAGGTGGAAGGAAGTAGGGGTGGGAGATCTTATGATGCAGTCCATTTGCTGCCTTTCTGTATCTGTGCTTCGGGGTTTTTTTTTCGTGCTTCGTAGCGCAGATCAAAGCTCATCGTCGTCGGTTTTTTTTCTTGTTAGCTGATTCATTATTATTATTGTTCTTATATCTAGATCTGCTCTGTTGAACTGTGCGTTTGTTTTTTCTGCCTATACCCGATGAAAAACGCTTTGAAATTGTCAGCGAAAGATGGCCAGGCCATCGCAAACTACTGCGTTTCCGACTTAGTTTCCTCTCGTTCTACTTTTGCGTACACTAACATTGCTGTGCTTGCGTGTTACAGGAGGTACCTTTGTCTCACTCAATACATTTTTTTTTGTTTTCACTGGCGTATTAAAAAAGGCCTGAAAAGGGGCGTATTCATTGTGACCATCATTTGCGTGTTGAAGGCAAGAAAGCGTAGCGTTGCGCATCACTTTCTGATTACTCTTTTCCTTTTGCGCCTTTTCCTCCCTTTTCTTACTCCCCTGAGCCTTTTCCTTTGGTGGCTTCCACAGGGCGTTTGCCATCCATTCAGTCGCTCCAGTGGCATTGGAAAGCAAAACAAAGCAGTCAAGTTCGTCAGAACAACAACAGCAACAGCAACAGCGGAACACGTTAGACGACGCTTGTCGATAAAAGTAGTGCGATGCACGCGCAAATGAAGAGACGACGAGTTTTACCGAACACCTTTTTTTTGGTTCTGCGCATTTTTTTTTTCTCCCTACCGTGATTTGAAGAATTGCTGTTTTGCAGTCGTATACTGTTGCCTGCCATCGTGCATGAGCGCGTGCCTTTACGGTACCCCAAAATAATAGTAATCATATTAATAATAATAAAAATGAACAACACCACCTCATCTTCCGCACTCCTCTCCGTTTCTTCCTCCTTTCTTTTGCTTTCATTGCCATATCTTCTGGTGCGTATAGCAGCCGCACAGCACAGAAAGAAAAAAAAACATAATGGCACTCACCGTCACGACGTCGTCTGCCCAAGTTGGCGGCGCCGAGACGACGTATTGGAGCCTGCACGGGCACTCCGAAGAAGTGCTGTGCGCCGCAGCGTATAGGCAGCACGTCTGCGCCACCGGTGGCGCCGATGGTTTGGTGCTGGTGTGGCGCTTCGCCGGCAGCACACCCGAACACGCCTGCCGCATGCGCACTGGGGGCCCCGCTGCGCTTGACGTGGCGTGGAGTAACGCGACAACGTTGCTCACGGCGCAAGGGGACGGCTGCGCATCGGTGTGGGACGTGGAGAAAGGTGTGAAGACGCGTTCGATATCGCGTTATGCGATCAAAGGCCGCTGTGCGTGGCCCGTCGTGAACTGTGTTGCAGCCACCACGCGGGGCAGCTTCGTGTTTGGCGGCGATGACGGCTATCTCGTCTCCGCCGATACGCGCAGCGACAAGGTGAGCACCAGTGTGCACCTGAATGTGCCGGTCACTGCCGCCACATCAGCAGAATATTCCCTCTTCGTGGGCGACGTGTGCGGTGCGCTGCATTGGTTTGACACGCGTGTTGGGTCAAAGGAGCTGGAGCGCATTCAATGCGGTGCAGCAGGCATCACAAGCGTTGTGGCGGTGCCGGACCAGGATAGAATTGTCTCGTACGCGTTGAATGGCGATGCCCAGGTGATCGACAGTCAGCCGTTCGCCTTGTCCTCCTCGGATCGCCTTGTGGGTGCTACAAACCTTGGTGACAACACCCGTCAGTCGTTGCTGCGCGGGTCGTGGCTGCCGCGTGCAGGGGCGGTGGTGTTGCCAAGTGGCAGCGGTGATGTCGTTGCGATCTCTCCCGCGGACATTGGCGGAGGCGTCACGCGCACGTTGCACCAACGCGTAAACGGGCCCGTGATGAACGTGTGTGCGGCGGTGGGTGAAGGAGTAGTGCTGTGCGGTGGTGGGGATGAGCTTGCCGTGTATTCGTGGTAGTGGTCAGAGCGGAGAGAATGAGAGTTGTATGATGCAAAAGAAAGGAGCAAAATCAAGGAAGCAGGCAGAACTCTTTTGATGTTGAAAGCGGCGTGGAAAGAGTAAAACACGAAAGATCCGAACAGCACCAAGGTCCACCGCGCTTGGTGGTGTTTCCTTTCCACGGATCGAGTGTAATTATCGTGAAGGACAAAAAGCACATGAATTCAAAGGGCCTCTCAGATGTTTCACCTTGCGCCTGATTCGACGCGAGAGCGAGAGTTATTCTCATGGGATGTACAATTTTTTTTGTTTCTGGGTTATCATCAGCATTTTACCTTCTCGTCTTCTCTCTATTCATGTTTCTCTTCGCTGCTTCCGCACGTTTCGCCGCGACATCTCTTTTTTTTTTTGCCTTTTCGTCTTCTCGCCTTTGCCAGTCTACTCCGCTTTCAACGCAAATTTCTCCTCCTTTTCGATCAGTAATTCGGTGACACTGCGGTGCACACACAAAAAAAAAGGAAGAGGAGAAAAGGAACAATAATTAATTCTTCCTCGCCGGTTTGTAAAACAAACAAACAAAAAACGCTTAATAAAATCACACGTACTCGCAAAAAGCTAGCATCATTGCCATTCAAAAATAATAACCAACACAACGTGCTTAACTAATTTTGTTTTTGCTCTCGCGTGCCGTCATGTGAAAGGACTGCCTAGGCCCCGTTTTCAAAGAAAAAAAAACGTTTCTTTTTTTTTTTCGAGGTGTACACGTACGTGTATATCTAGTCTGTTTGTTCCTTTGTGCAAGACTTCTAAAAATCCACTTCGCCTCGTAATTCAGTAGTTTCTGGTGTATAGGTTGAGTTTGGAAGTGTACAGTTTGTTTGGATCCCGTTTCTTTGGTCCCTTTTTTTTCTTCTTGCCCTTTTGTGCTTACTCTGCTTCTCATACAGAAGTCTGGTATAATCCGCATAGAAGGTAATCAGGCCTGATCAGATGCACCGAAACAGGAACCGTAGGCGCCGCGCACCCGAGGGGCGACCAGTGCAGAACATCCTCAGCACCGACGGCATCCCAACCGGCACCTTCGCCGTGATCGATCCCTTCAGCAAGCGGCTTTTTATCCCCACCGAGGCGATGTTAGACACCCGTGCGATGCACCGCAAAGGCGTCCCTTCTCTCTGTCGCGTTTTCCTCGAAGGTCGGTGCCGGCAGGGCTCCAACTGCTTCCAGGCCCACGCCAACGTGGACGTGGTGACTGCCCTGCGTGCCGCTGCGCTGGAGGAGCCGACGTGCTGCGCGTTGCATGGTGCCCGCAGCGACGCCTCCGGCTTAGACCTCTCGCTGGCCCTTCTCACCCAAAACGACTCCGGCGATACAGTGCTGCGGGCGCGTCTGGAGGAGACGGTGGTGACCAACGGCCTGCGCGCCCTCATTGCGGCGCAGGCGAACGCGGTAGGGATGGTGGCGCCAACGGAGGTGGTGGTGCCGACCTCGTCGCTCTGTCGCCTGCACAGCGGCCTGGCCGGGGCGCCGTGCTGCCGCTTTGAGCAGGAGTGCAACTTTGTGCATCTGTGCCGCCAGCTGGTGCGGCGCACTGAACCGCAAGGCGGCCTAGCCGCGGAGGATCCGCCGTACGTGGTTCCCATGATCTCCGTCATCGGCTCCGATCCGGCGCCGGATGAGGTGATGACAATGCTCGACACGGCCACCAACCACCTCCTGACCTCCTCTGCTCAGGGCCGCGGGCCTCCGGCGTCGTCGTTCAACGTTCCCATGAGTGTCAGCGCAAACCTCGGGGTGACGCCGCCCATTCGCTTCGACCCGTTAGCCTTGGCCGCCACTGCGCCGAGCCCGACGCCGGATAGCGGTGTTCAGATGATGGGGCGGTCGCCCATCATGGCACGGTCTTTTAGTTCCACCACCTCTGGTCTGGTGTGGCGTCACAACCCGTATAACTCGTCACATGCTTCTTCGGTGATTGAGACGTGACCTAAGGAAAGAAAAGAAGGGAAAAAAACCCTCACCACGTTCTTCTTCGCACCAGAAGACGGTGTGCTTCAATACATAAATATATATTGTACTCTATATATTTTTTAGTCTCGTTGCAGCTGCATCATTTTGTTCTCCTGTTTTTATTATTATCTGATGTGACAACGCATCTGGTATGCGACACATTCATGCAATACTTATTAAGCCACTCTTCGTCCGGCTGTCACGTCAACGACACACAAACTCTCTCGTATGCAAGTCTGCTTTTTTTTGTTTATTGTATGAGGTTTTTTCTCTGTTCCCTTTTTTTAATAGCTCGTTTGTCGTTGTTACATTCGCTCAATATACTTCTCCAACAATCGTTCTTTTTAAACTTCGGTTAAAGTTAGGGATGTGAAAACACAGACACACACACACACACGTATATATATATATATATATGTGAAACACCTTGCACCTGTTCGCTTCAGTGCATGTAAGGTTCTGCGTGAAGGAATTACCCTAAGAGGACAAAAGTTTGGCAATTGTCACTGCGCTGTGTGTTCCTCATGTATGCGTTTCCTATCTTCCCTTCTTTTTTTCTTCTGGTATATGTTTTCCTCATTGAATCCCTTTTTTTTTTGTTTGTGCGCTCGGCTGCTTTGTGAAGCAAATAAACAACATCAATAATGAACGTTTTGCTGTTGCGGTGAGTGCGGGCGGTTTGCACGTTTAGAGGTAGCGGATATGTCGACCACGAAGCCCTGTAATACTTCGGCGGACTTCGCAGCCGATGCTGTCTGCTGTTGTCGTGGCAACTGCAAGCCAGACAGGTAGCGATGGGCGTTTGCTTTTTCTCATTTTTCTTTGTTCTGCTGCGCATTTCCGTGTCACCGCTGATTAGCAAAGAGGAACTTCTCACCTGATTTTTGGTTTCACGGGAGGTTCTCGTGTGAGGACGGAACGAGGAGGGGGGGGGGGGAAGAAAAGGCGAAGCTGTACGGCGCAACGTGTGTGCAACGCGAACACATACGCCGGATCTGGTGATGCGGAGCTGTTGGGGTTTTTATGCACTGGCTCACCGTGTGGCGCGTTCTTCTTTTTCTCTTTTTCATGTTGCACGCACTTTCATTTGTCTGTGGGTGCGTGTGTGTGCACAGAGCAGGACGTTAAGGCTGTTCCGCGTACATGGCACCCCTCCCTCTGACATAACATCAACAAAAAGGCAAATGAAATTATTTTCCTTTCAAAATGTTCTTCCGTATCCTGCCCCTTTTTGTGAGTTCGTACCGTGCTGCGCCTGCCCCAAAGGTGGTAGCGTGTCGGTTGATCTTTGTGAAGTCGCTGTCTTCTGTTTGTTTTCCTTCGTTTCCTTCGTTTAATATGGTTTTCAACGTTTTTGCTGAATGGCTGCGATATTTCACTCTTTTTTTTGTCATTTTCCCGCCACTATTATCATTATTTGGTTTCCTATTGCTTCTTCTTTTCTGGTTTTTTTTTTGCATGAAAGCGAGATCTTCGAAACATTACGGGGATACTCTGTCACAGACGATCGAACTTATTTCAACGCATCTTCCTCCGAAAAAGAAATGCTGACTCAGTCGGGAGCTGTGGCATCGCGAATGTGCCCCTGTTTACCTTCTCTCCCCTCCAAAAAAAATGAATAAATAATTAGAGAGAAGGACTGATATAGCAAAGCGTCTCGGGGCCGTCGGAACGGACGATACGGAGGGCGTGGGAAAGTGTCGCAGCTTTATTCTTCTAAAAAGAAGAAGCTGTTTACGCTTTCCCTTCTTTCCAACCCAATAGAAGGCTGTCCTGGCTTCTATGTAAGGCTGTGAGCGAAGGGCCGTTATCCATTTACGTGCGTCTGATCTTCTTCTGCTCGAGTTTTGTTTTATTCTTTTACGTCTTTTTATTTTGCTTCTTTCTGTGGGCAGCGAGTACGCAAGGCATTTTTCTCTCGTCTCTGATGCCTGTCTCGTCTTCCAGAAGCCACCGCGACGTGTCCGTGCATTCCTTGCGCACCTTCAACGACGGTGATGGCGGCAACGCAGCCACCTCCTTGACGCGATTGGAGGCGCACGCCGCGGTCCGTTTAGACCCTCTCCAAGGGAAGACGTTTGACTGCTACGGACTCCCGCTGCGGCGTCCTGGCAAGGACCAACGTGTCCGGTTCTCCTTTATCAAGTCCATGAAGGGGCTCGCCTCGTACCTCACCACACGCATCAACCCATCCTTCCAGGAATGCCTCATTTGCGTTGTCGAGACGGAGAGCGATGTTCGATTTGAGGTGCGGCAGATCTCCAACGGTAAAGGCACCCGTGCCCGCGTTTTGTTCTCCGCATCGCTTTCCGCCTTGGTCGACGTCGCACGCGACTCCGTCATTGAGAAAGACACCGTCGTCTTTTCGCAGCTGCCCTCTTCCTTTCAGCCGGCGGACGACGGTGCTCGCACACCCGCGGTGAGTAGCGAGGCTGCGGCGGACCGTCGACGGACCGGCGTGACAAGCACCACCAGTCCTCATCACAGCCAGCAACAGCAGCGACAGCCCAGCCGCAGCCCTACACCAAACCACCACCACCACCACAGCAAAAGGGCTGCATCAAAAAAAGAGGAGCTGATCTCAACTCTCTTTAGTGCTTACGGTGACATCGGCCTTACCCTCGTCTTTCACGACGCACGCAGCGACGAGGACAGGCTCACGCACCATCGCCACCGCTCCTCCTCCTTTCCCTCCGCCTCGCACGGTGGTGGTAGTAGTGGAGGGAGCAGCTCACGCCCCTACACCCGAATAGGTCTGCGCTTCGTCTCTACCGTGGAGCGCAATGAGTGGCTATCATTCTGCGGTGAGGCGTACATGGGGCTGCTGCTCGACTCCATTCGCACAAATCGCGACACGGTGTACATTCCGGATGATCACAGCAGCGGCGCTCGTGCGGCTGCCCCATCCACCGTCAACGGCTCCGATACCTTTCACCTCGCAAAGCCACCAGACGAGGCGGTGGAGAATTATATTGACTTCTTTCTCTCTGCCCGAACGAAAGCTGATGGGAACACCAACTCCAACAATCACCACAACGACAGCGGTGGCGAGGCGGACCCGCTTCTGGTGCCTTTCAGCGGTGCGTTGCGCATTCGCAGCTCCGACGGCTCGCTGCACACGCGCGAGGTGCACCTCGAAAAGGAAGACGCGGCCGACGACGCCGGTGCGCGGGTGACGCGGACTTTTCTTGTCTTCCGGCGCAAAGGGTGGTGTGGAAAGTCCAATTCGCAACGCGTTCCTCTAGAGGGTCTTCAGATCTACGCAGATGACGATCAGAGCGGTACATCGTTCTATTTGGAGTTTGCGTACTCGGGCAAGTCTGCCGCAGAGTACAACAGGTCCTCGCACGCCGATCTCACGGCGGCCGCCAAACAGCTTTACGTGCTGGGTGCGGTTCAGGAGCCTTTTTTGTGTGGTACTGATCTGGCAGATGCGCAGGCCACTGTTACGCTGGAGTGCGAAGCAGGAAGCTTCGCTGCGCGCCGGCAGTGGCTGCAATGGCTGGAGATTGTGCTGAAGAAACAGGTGGTGTACCTCTCCGTGGCGCGTCGCAACGCAGAGGCGCAGAAGCCGGTGGAGCAGGATACGCGCAACGGGCTGCTCGGCGATCGGATCGTTTGGTGAGTTTGGCCCCCCAAAAAGACAATCAACAAGGTGGAGGCCGTTTGTATCTTCAAACTCTGTCAATAATGTATCCTTTCAGATTCTTCTTTTTTCTTTTTTTTTCTTTTTCCTCTCCCCACTGCTTACTTTGGTTTTTGAGTATTGAGGACGATACACCAGTCTCATTTAGGGAACACCCACGAGAAATTGCCTTTAGTGCTGCACTGATGAGAGGCCGCTCTCTTTTCTGTTGGCATGGCGCTTATGTGACCACAGGCGTTTGCTGATCTTGTGATGGTTCTATTCTTTTGCTAGCGTTACGGCGCGGAGCAACGGCTCCTTCTTTGAAAAGCGTGCACGAAAGAGCCGTTGTGATGGGTTCATATCTCTTTTACTCAACCTCATCCAATCTTGTCCTCCCCTCTCTCTCTTTCGTAGTGCGGGTCGCCTTGAAAGGGATTTGCTTCTCTCCCTGTGAGCGCTTGTCTGCGTCGTTGTTGCCGTGAGCGGGTCTTCGTTCTTGGCTCAGGCCTTATTCTTTTGCTTTTGTTCTTCTTTTTCCTTAACTGTTTCTCATTTGCCTTGTTTCGCTCAACGTTTCTGTTTTTCTCGCACCTGCCAGCTCGAACGTGACGACAGGGCGCAGACATGAAGTTCGGCAAGCGCTTGCAAGACGAGATTGTGCCGGAGTGGGAGCAGTACTACGTCAATTACAAACGGCTGAAGCAGTTCATCCATAACTCCGAGCTGCGCGGGAGCGAGTTCGGTAATGAGCTCTTCAAAATTATCACCGAGGAGCTCGCCAAGGCGGAGGGCCTGTTCCAGCAGCTCATGGGCGACCTGCAGGGGGAGCACGATCGGCTGATGGACCTCAACCCAGATCTGCCGGTGGTGCCAACGCAGAGGGAGCGCAAGTTTCACCGTCGCAGCAAGAAGATATTCGTGGCGAGCGACGACGCCCCGAACGAGGAGACGGGGTTGGTGAGCACCACGACGAGCTCCATGTGCGACCCCTCCGTGCTGGAGGAGAACGCCATTTTGCCGGAGTCGAACAGCGGGCTCATCAACCTCCTGAAGCGGCTGTTCTACCTCATCATTGGCGACTCTCAGGTGAAGGCGGTGCAGAGCAACACCCCCCGTGCGTTGTTTCTCGAGTGGCACTCGAATGCGCACCAGCTGCAGCACTTTGCGGAGCTCAACATTGAGGCGATTCGTAAGTCTGCCAAGAAGCTGAAGAAGTACCGCCGCCTGGATGGAGACTTCACCGCCGCCATCGAGGCTGAGATCTCGCGATCGCGACTGACGACGCTCATGCCACGGCTGCACAACCTAATGTCCAATGTGAGCATGGACTTTGAGCGCAAGTTCAAGGTACCGCTGGATCAGTACGCGAACGTGACTATGTCGCAGGAGTGGCACGCGCGGTGGCGCTACATCTTCCTCGGCGCGGCCTTGTTTATGATCACGATGCGGCTGCCTGTGCTGTCGGAGACGTCGGCGGCACACAACTGTCTCGCGCTGTTCGTGCTCGTCATTACCCTGTGGATTACGGAGGCCATTCCTTTCTTTTGTACCGCCATGCTGATCCCACTCTTCGCCGTCCCCCTGGGCATCGTCATGGACCCCGATACCCACCAGAGCGCCACGGCCACCGTTGCATCGCAGATCATTTTGGGGAAGATGTTTAACCACGTTCAGATTCTCGTGATGGGCGGGCTTACCATTGCGAAGGCGTGCTCGCGCACCAACCTCGAGATGTACGCCGCCAGCTCGCTGCATCGCTGGACGGCGCACCGTCCTCCGCTTTACTTGTTGGGTGTGATGATGAGCAGCTGTCTCCTGTGCGCCTTCGTGTCGAACGTGGCCGCCCCGCTGCTGGTGCTCGGCGTCGTGCAGCGCACCCTGTGGGAATTCCCAGAGGGCACCAACGCCCCGCACGGCATTCTGCTGGGCCTGGCCTTTGCGTGCAACATTGGTGGTATGTTGTCGCCCATCGCCTCCCCGCAGAACGCGGTGGCGATCACCGCGCTTGGCTTCTACCGAGTCTCCTTCGCGCAGTGGGTTGGCGTGGCGCTGCCGGTGGTGCTGGGCAGTGTGGTGGCTGCGTGGCTGATTGTGCTGGTGGTGTGGAAGCCGTTCAAAGATGTGCCGTACATCCCTCTGCAGGTCGTGAACACCGCCATGGAGAGCCAGTTCTCCCCGGTGACCCGTGCGGTCGTAGTGCTGGTGTCTGCGCTGACGATCATTCTGTGGGTGCTGCCGGCAAACTTGTTCTTCGGCGACACCGGCATCGTCGCGCTCATCCCCATTGTTGTCTTCTTCGGGGTCGGCATTTTGTCAAAGGAGGACTTCAGCACGCTGTCGTGGCACCTGCTCTTCTTGTTGGCGGGTGGTAACATGCTGGGCCTGTGTGCGCATGACTCGCGCATGCTGGACATCATGGCGATGGGCTTGAAGACCACGCTGACGAGCTCGCCGCCGTACGTGACGCTGGTTGTGGTGCTCGTTGTCGTGGGCATAATCACGACGTTTGTTTCGCACACGGTGGCAGCGATGATCTTGCTGCCCATCATCGCGAAGATCGGCTTCTTGTTGCCGCAGTCGTCGGGGATTCTCACCGTGACACCGCAGTCGATGGTGATGCTGGCCGCGTTGATGTGCTCCGGCGCGATGGCGTTCCCGATCAGCTCGTTTCCTAACGTGAACTCGCTCCTGGCGGAGGACTCGAAAGGTAAGCCGTACCTACGGGCCAAGGACTTTCTCTTCTGCGGTACCATGGTGACTATGGTGTTCACATTCTGCCTCGTCACGTGGATGGTGCCGCTGACGAACTACGTGCTGCCGAGCGAGCACGGGACGCGCTAAGCAAACCAAAGCGCGATCGTTTTTTTTTTCAAATAGCTGATTGAAATGCATGGCATCAAGAAATCAGCACCATAACTCGCTGCCATTAAAAAATAATAACTAAAAAGAAAACGGCGCGTTCAACACACCAACGTATACATTGACGTATTAAGAGGGAGAGTATCAGCGATCACGAAAGAGGTAAGAAAGTGCGTGGTCACACATCCGTAACACATTTCAGCACGTCGACGAGCTTTCTAGAGAACACGCAACGATCCGATTCGCTGTTTAGCCCTACGGGCACCATCAATGAGGAGAACAGCCGCACACCAGAAGCCAGTTGAGCTGGACGCGTTGCCATTCCCCCCTCCCTCCTCCCTTTTTAATTGGTGATCCCTCGGCGCGCTTACTCATTCGCGTACCTTGTGCAATCAACGCTCGATAGCGCGCTTAGGAGAGTAGCTATGTCTTCTTTTGTTTTTCTCGATCCTCGTAAACGTGCGGTTTTTGCGGCGCGTCGCATTGCGAAGCTTTTTCTTCTACCCGTTTTCTTACGTTCAACGGAGACGTTTTTTTTTGCAAAAATTTTTTCTGTTTGTGGGATTTGAGAAGTCATTATCGGATTCAGGGAAAGTTAGTTGAAAGAACAGAAGGGAAAATAAAGCCCATCCACTTTGGATACGTTCTCGAACACCTTCAATATATATACTAGAAAGCAGTGAGGGAGACTTCTCGAATAGGGAGGGTTTTTTTCCAGTTAACGGGTATCGTAGTAAAATAGAACGAGAGCGATGCGTTGCTCTTGGGTGCCCCCTGACATCGCTGTCGCACACAATGAAATCTCGTGCCGATGTTCCTTCTCCATCCGTTTCCACTCCCCTTCTGTTCTCTCCTCGTGGAGGATAGCCTCTATACACATATATGTTAGCAAAGAGAGGCATACACAGCAAATTTTAGCTCCTCTGAACAGCTTTATTAGCCGTAAACGAGCATGGAGGAATACGTCACCGACGCCTCATTGAGTGAGACAGCCTGCAGCGTGGCATACCCAGACCTGATTCTGCGCTGCGTCGTGCTCGCTACCGTCCCACTCCGCGCGTGTGAGTTTCGCGACGAAAAGGTCTTCACCGCAGTTGGGTGCATCTCCCCTCTCTCACCCAACGATGCCGGCAGCTGCGCGAAGCCCGTCCGCGTCAACTTCTACGGTTCGTGGGGGATGGCAGCGGCTTTCATGGAGTCGGGTGACGTGATGGTTCTTCAAGGCTTCTACCGACTTGACCCTCCTTCCGCACCGGAAGTTGCCAGCGGCGACGCGTTGGCATCTGCGCCGTCTTCCGTCTTCGTGTGCCCCCTGCCGGAGGAGGAAGGCTGCGTGCTGCGTGTGTTGCAGCCGGGCAAGGGTGGAGATGTGATGGAGGTGCTTGTGACGCCGTCGAACATGGACGCCATCTGCATGCACGGGCTCACCAAGTCCGACGCGGCGAACCACCTTTACGTACACCAGTGCTTAGCAGGCCCAAATGCGCAGCAGGAGGAAGGAAGGCGCTGACCGCTTCAGTGGCGTGTAATCAGAGGAGCAGTGCCCTGAACGGCGTTAAGAAAAGTGTTTTTTTGCGCCACATACTTTGATGCCTTGTGCATCTGAAGCTATATGCGATGTAAATTAGGACTGCCTTTTTATGTTGGCCGCGCTTACCGCTCTTCAGCATCTTGCGATGTGCGCTGGCATTCCGTGTACTGAAAAAATATATATTTGCAAAGGTGACTTCGGTTCAAAATTGCGGTTGAGGTTGACTCTTTTGACGGTGGGGTGGTGGGGTTAGATGAAGGGTGAAATCACTGTATGATGTGTACTGCCATGTCTCCGCTCTGCAATGTCACTTACGCAGAGCCCAAACGCTCTTCTTCTCTCCCCTGTCTTAAGCACCATTTCCATTTTATGCTGTATTGCTTTCCGAACACTTTCTTCTTTGCTTTGGCTCCTCCAATGAAGCGTTCCCGCACCTCTCCTACGCGTCGTCCCCCCCCCCCCACCACGAACGACTCACTTCTCTTCTCACGCGGAAAAAGACATCTTTTTGTGCTGGTCTCATCATAGAAGTAATCTGCCTTTTTTTTGGCCGTTTGAGAGCGATTCATACGTTATACTCCCCACACCTGTTCTGTTGATGCCTTTGGTATCCGCATCACATTCTTTTTTTGCTTCATAGATTCTTTCCAGAGGCGAAAATGAGCTCAGTCTCGCTGGCTTCTCAAAGCAGCTCAAACATCGGCGATAACATCACTTACATTGGCCTGATTCGCCGCAGCGAAGGAAACGTGCTCATCATCTTTGCTTCCTTGACACTCGGCCTTATCATTGTTGGTACGTGCATCTTCGTCTTTTGCTTCCGTGCGCGGCGCTTCTCCCCGGAGCGCTTCGTCCGCGTCCGCCGCTGCACAACCTCCGCTCTCTACACGGTGGAGAATGAAAAGGCATAAAAGTTGCAGCGTTCTTTTTTTTATTTTTCACTGAGCTCCCAACTCTGAAAAGTGCGTCTTTTCTGTTGATGGTTTCAAAATCTCTGCTTTGCACGTCTATCACTCGTTTTCGTGTTCTAATGTTCACGAAGGTCAACTGTCACCGCGCAAACCCGTGAGATGATCGTCTCCTCCTTTTTCTAATCTGTGTACGGATTGGCCATTTAACCGCTTCGACGGTCCGGGTTATTACTCTTGAAACTGAGCGAAGTGTTTCTTTTTCCGAATGGGCAGCGTTCACTTTTTTTTTGAGGGGGGTCTTCGTTGTCGCTGCGCGTTTCAGCGACGGAGGCCGTCAGTTCCATTTTACTGACACTGCGAATGGTGCGGGAGTTTTTTGTGTGTGTGCTTGACGCATCGGTGCGTAGTGCATACCGCTTCCTGTCTCTTTCTTCTCTGTATGCATGTGTGCGGGTAGGCAGCTGCGCTGCGGCTGTTACTCTAAAGCGGCAACGGCTCAAGAGCTCATCATCGCTTCCTTTCTCTTCTTCCTGTTCGTCCTTTTGCTGTGAGCTGTGATTCCCGCAGAAATACAAATACATCCTTTTTTGTTCAAATCTATTTTCGCTCCCACTCACCAGTTTTCTCGCCGAATCCATCGAATCCTTGTTGACTTCATCGTCATTATACCCCACAGCAACTAAACAAATAATAAAAAGAAAAAGAACCCCAATCTACTCACGGAACAAAAAAGCCATGTCCGGATCCGCCCTTCGCTACCGGAGTGCAGAGGACTTCATCAAGAAGGTCGTCATCGCGCGTGACCCACACCAGCCGGAGTTCGTGCAGGCCGTCCGTGAGGTCATGTCCTCGCTGTGGCCCTTCCTCGAGAAGAACCCAAAGTACGCCCGCGACGCATTGCTGGAGCGCTTGGTGGAGCCGGAGCGCGTGATCATGTTCCGCGTGCCGTGGGTGGACGACAAGGGTGTCGTCCAGGTGAACCGCGGCTACCGCGTTCAGTTTAATTCCGCCATCGGCCCCTACAAAGGCGGCATTCGCTTCCACCCCTCGGTGAACCTGTCCATTCTGAAGTTCCTCGGCTTCGAGCAGACCTTCAAGAACTCCCTGACGACGCTGCCCATGGGTGGCGGCAAGGGCGGGGCCGACTTTGATCCCAAAGGCAAGAGCGACCGCGAGGTGATGCGCTTTTGCCAGTCCCTCGTAGCGGAGCTGTACCGCCACATCGGCGCCGACACGGACGTCCCGGCGGGGGACATCGGCGTGGGCGGCCGCGAGGTCGGCTTCATGAACGGCATGTACTGGAAGCTGACGAACACGAACGAGTGCACCTTCACGGGCAAAGGCCTCGCCTTCCAGGGCAGCGAGATTCGCCCCGAGGCTACCGGTTACGGGCTGGTCTACTTTGCGCAGTGCATGCTGGAGCGTCGCAACGACTCCTTCAACGGCAAGGTCGTCCTGGTGTCTGGTGCCGGCAACGTGGCCCAGTACACCATCAAGAAATGCATGGAGCTCGGCGCCAAGGTTGTGACGGCCTCTGACTCCACCGGCTACGTCTACGACAAGGACGGCTTCGACGAGAAGAAGTTGGCCACGCTGATGGAGATCAAGAACGAGCGCCGTGAGACGCTGGCCGAGTACGCCAAGGAGACGGGCTGCGAGTACGTGCCGGGGAAGCGTCCGTGGGGTGTGAAAGCCGACATCGCGCTGCCGTGCGCCACCCAGAACGAGGTGGAGGAGGCGGATGCGAAGGCGCTGGTGGCAAACGGTGTGAAGTTGGTCGCCGAAGGCGCGAACATGCCGACGACGGAGGAGGCGACGCATATCTTGCAGCAGGCAGGCGTCATCTATGCGCCGGGCAAGGCCTCCAACGCTGGTGGGGTGGCCATCTCCGGTTTGGAGATGTCGCAGAACGCGGCGCGCCTGGCGTGGACGGGCGAGGAGGTCGACAGCCGCCTGAGAGCCATCATGTCGAGCATCCACGACTCCTGTGTCCAGTACGGCGAGAGCGACGGCAAGGTGAACTATGTCAACGGTGCCAACATTGCAGGGTTCGTGAAGGTGGCGGACGCCATGCTGGCTCTCGGCATCGTTTAACAGTAAATACGCCAGATGTACCAAGAGAGTGCGATGTACGCTAATGTTGATAAATCAGGACTAGGAACTCCTCCCACCACACACGCATACACAAACACACCTACCTCCACAAAAGAATGCTATAACTATCGCCCAATCACGTGCTCTCTCTCTCTCTCTCTCCTTGTTTTATCAGCTATCGTTATACAAAAAAAAATGCAGCACGCGAGTTTTCCTGTTTTCAATCGACCGTGGAGGATCAGAGTGGATGCAAGGCGGTGATGTTTCGTTTCTAAATAAAAGGGCGACAGAACGACGAGGTAGAGCACACGCGACGCCAACAATTTCGCTTCTCCCTCTTTCAGTAAAGGTGTTGAGTGAAGACACACCGAAATCCAAAAAAAAACCGGAAAAAAACAATGACGTACGTGAATATGAAAGGAAAATCCGTGCGTACCATGATCTAGAATAAAGCGATAATTGTAGGGACCGTTGACACTTCTCCTTCTCTTTCGTTTGTTTTCTTTAAGCTCTGCGGAGGAGGAAAAAAAAACTCTGCGGCGCTGTTATTCGTGTTCCTACTTTTCACTACTATTATACCGCGCTCTTTTCGAGTTTCACACACATAAAAGGAGGCGAAAGTACGTAAAGGCCCCCAAAGAACAAAGAGTGATAGGGCAGCCCAAGGAAGAAGGCACTGAAATGAAAGATCAATGCTCGCTGCGTTATGTGATGGTTGATTTGCTTCTCAAGGAACGCTTTCGCGCTTTGTGGAATCGACCATTTAATCACTACCTTTTTTTTCTGCCAGATTCTTGTCTTGTTCTTCATTTCTTTTACTGGATCGCTCTTTTGTTCTTGTAAACCGTGACGACTCATTACTGTGGGAGACCACTGGATAAAACATTTTGTTATACCCAAAGAAGAAGAAGATAGTTTTCATTGCCAATTCGTCTGTCTTTTTTTCTGTCCGCCGTTGCTTTCTTTCACGCATTCGGTTATTGTTTTTCGTATTGCGGTCGCGCTTTCCCCTGCGCGCTGAAGTGTTTGCGGCGGTACAAACGCGCATGACCTCTTTTTTTTGCTTTTCATTCTTTTCTCGATATCCAAAAGAAAGAAAAGTCCTGTAAGGGAGTAGGCAAGTCGTGTGACAAAGGAATGCGAATCACGCAGCAGTGAACTCACAAATTTGTTCTACCCTAATCTTCCTTTACTGATTTTGTTTATACCGTATTCTCCTTTTTGTGCTTGTGTCCGTGCGTGTTGTTGCTTAACCACGCTGTCGCCATATTCATTTACTTTTCTGTTCCGAGTCAGTGGGTTGATGATGGAGTACTTCTTCTCCTTTTCCGTAGTTCAGGAATCAATGCATTCTGGGTGAAAAAAACGTTGAACGGTACTGCATCTACCAACATGGAAATCTTCGTCTGGTATTTATTTATTTCGCCATGCGCTCAGCCGTGGTCAGCATCTCAGGTGTCTTCATCACTTCGATGGAACCGATTCGCACGCTGGTCTTTCTCTGAGGGGAGGATATTACTCTCTTCTCTTTTCACCTCAGTTCCACAATGCTCTCGAATCTTCTCCATCTGGTCGGAGAAAACGGATTATGGTACTGAAAAGCACACGTGGCTAGTTGCGGCATCGCCATCTTGATTGAGTGAAAAAAGAAAAGAAAAACAACAGTAAAAATGTGGACCAAATGCCCTTCCGTTGGGCGCGTTCATCGTCTCTTGTAGGCTGAGCCCGTTTCTTCCCCTTCCCCCCCCCTTACATCAGCCACCCTTCACGAGAGCTGCGTTAGCAGAAAGCCAGGGTAAACCTGGCCTCTCCTGTTTCCTTCGTGCCGCGTCGGAGGGGGGGGGGGAACCGAAAGAGAAACCTCCATCAATACGTTTCTATTAAAGCGTCAGCGATCAGAACATCAAGGAAAACAACGCATCAACAACAAAAAACTGTAGCGATTCTGTTTTCCTCTCCCTCTGTCTCTTTAATCATTCTACTTGAAGGAAAACGAAGGAAGGATTGGGTTTCCTGTTTACCTGCTCACACGTTTGTATTCGCCTCCACCCCCCAAAAGAAAAACACCAGCAACAACACTCTTGCGTGTGTGTGTGTGTGTGCCTCGCAGGCGTTTCTTTCTGTAGCTTGCTCCTCTGAAGCATCGATTGGTTTTTGGCCCTTTTTGTTTCCACATTCTCGTCATCAAGTTCCTTTTCGTAGAATTCGCGAAGGCGAAGGATGTCCAGCGAGAACACCGAAGAGGCGCGCGTGCGTCAAGCGATCGTGGACTGCACCGTCGAGCACTACGACCTCTTGGCCAACGCACAAGCTTCGAACGTTTCGGCTGCCGCGCTCTCGAGCAGCGCCGAGGACGCCGCGAAGGGTCTGACTGGCTCCCTGCAGACACTGCAATCATCCTCGCAGCTTCTCTACTTTGCGGGCCAGGCGTGGCGGCAAGAAAAATCTCTGCTGCGCAGCGCTGTGATAAGTCATCAGAAGATCGTGGCCCTGATGGAGGCCCCCGCGCTGGTGGAGGAGTGCGTGCGTCACAACATGTTCCACGAGGCGCTCCTCATCTTTGAGCACGTCATGATGCTGTGTCAACACATGAGCGACGTATACGTTTTTCAGCGACTTCAAGCGGAAGTGGTGGCCGCGATGGAGCTCGTGGTCGATGCGCACGTGATGCCAATGCTGTCCGGGCCGCTCTCTGTCGATACCGCCTACAAGGCCATTTCCCTTCTCCGCCGTCTTGGCGGCTCGCCGGCGTGTCTGTGCTCGCTTTTCCTCACGAGCCGCGCTACGTACATCGCCCATCTGATGCAGGAGGCAGACGCGAGCGTGGTGCCGTACTCGCGCCTCCTTAAGTACGTCACGGTGTACAAGGTACACGTGAGTGAGGTGGTGCTGCAGTACAAGGCGTGCTTCCCCTCCCCGACCGAGGCCCAGCAGCGCGAGACGACGCAGGAGCTGAGCCTGTGGTGTCAGGAGCAGGCGCACCGCTTCGTGTCGCTCGTGTCCGCCACCCTGCAGCACCTCCACAACGGCTCTGAGCTGGCGCTGGTGATTCAGCAGTGCAGCAGCTGCGCCACAACGACGGCACGCGTGCACACGGACGTCTCCGGCCTGTTGGGCAGTGTGCTGGTAGAGAAGGTGCGGGCTCTCTTCGCGGACGGGATGCGGCAGGCACGCATGACGTACCGCACCTCTATGCAGACCTCCTCGTGGCGGGTGTCTGTGTATTGTCACCACAACACGAGTTTGACCTTCTCGACCGCCATCGACGCACCAGCCACGGTGGGCGACACGCCGGCGGTGCAACTGGCGCAATGGCTTCCACTGGCGTACGCCCTCAATGGCACCCTGTCCTCCTTCAACGCCATTCGCAAGTGCCTCCTGCCTGGTGTGGAGGCGTCGTGTGGGGAGGAGGTGTACCGTCTTGTCGTCGATGTTGCGCAAGACATGCTAACGGACATCCCGTTGTTAGACACGATGGACGGCGCGGAGAAAGGCGTCTTTGTCACCTTTGTGAAGGCGTTTAAGCGTTTGTACGTCCCCTACGTCCTGCACCTTGTCAGTCGCATTTTGGGCCCAGCGCATCGTGAGGTGATGGAGGACCGCCTGCAGGGCGTTATGCACGACGTGAATGAGCTGTTGTTTCTCGTCGATCCACCACCGGCTGCAGCGGCGCCAACCGCAGGGGAAGTTAGTCGACTCGCGTCGCGTGCGGCGACTGCCATGCCTGTGAAGGCAGCAGCACCACCACCGCCACCGCCGCCGTCAGCACAGATAGGCGGACTGACGTCCTCTGGTGCTCCCACACCGTCGCGTAATGCGGCACCCGCACGGGCTGCCTTTACCGCAGCAGCACCTGTCCCTCTACACCACGCATCTGCGCCTGCGCCTTCGTCAGCGTCTTCCGCAGCGTTTCCTTCGGCAAACGCTCCGCCGGCTGCGCACGCTGCTGGCTTTTCTTCTGCGCCTCCAAGGGCCGGGGCAGCAAACATATCCGTGCCGCCGCCGCCCCCACCGCATAATCCATTTGCTTGAGACTCTCACACGCGCACTTCCCCAAAACCAATAGAACGGACACATTACCGGTTTGCGATTGTCGTCTTGACGGTGAACTGAATACTCGTCGGTCAACGTTTTCTGAACAACAAGTAATATGAAAAGAAAAGAAGAAAACGAAACGGTGTCTTCAACTTCCATCGTCGTTACTGATGTCACTGTGCTCAGTTGCGGGCGTAATCACCATTTTGTGCTGCTTCTGACAGAGGTTGGTGGCGGCTCGTTTGTGACGGATTACTTTTACGGAGGAATGCTGAATGCGTATGGAGCGGAAGCACTTCTGCGCGCTGTGTGCCTTGTTTCGCGAAACGATTTTATTGGTGTGTCTGCGCACGTTGGCACATGAGAGGTCCATTGACCTTCCACACGGAAACTTGTCTTTTTACGTGCTGTCGTAGCCCTTCCAATTCATCTCTTTTCTTTTGTGTCTATTCTTTTATTTTTTCTGGTCGCCGTGCCTTCCGACTTCATATTGGCCCCCTCAATCTCCTCCAGCGCCTCTCATTCACGTGTTCCGGCCCATTGCGTTGCCCGCCTTCTATAGCTTTACAGTTTTGTTTTTACTTCTTCAATATCGCATTTCACGCATACCATGTCGCTTACGGTGGCCTCGCCTTCAGAGGACGATTATCCAGACGGAGAGGTGGTGGCCGCTCAGCCTGCTACGCTTGCAGCGCTCATTCAGCAATCCCTCGTGCAGGAATACACGCAGGCGCGGCAAGAGTACAAGCAAGCGCACGCGCGGTACTCTGCCCGTGTGAAGCCGACCGTTCCGTCACGCTTCGAGCGGTATTGCACGGGCGCCTTCCAAGACGTGCACTTCTACACCAGTGCGCCAGACCCCGTGACGTGCTGCGCTCCAGGCTGCACCCACCACACACACAAGGCCGGCCTTCGCGAGGTGAACGATCACCTGCGACTCCGCGCGGAAGAGCGACTGAGTGCTGCACTGCCGCGGCGCACGTGTACTGGCGATGATGTATTTGCTCTCCTTGTCACGCAGGAGGCGGCGGAGCTGTCGGACTTGTTCGAGCTAGAGGCGGCGGTGTTCAGGGAGCTCGCGTACGCCTACTACGACTACATGTACGGACCAGCGGATCGTGTCGCGGAGGCGGAGTCGCACTCGCGGCGTCAATTGGAGGACGACTTCCATGAGGCTTCCCAGACGCTGTTGAAGCAGCTGCAAGAGGAGACGTGGCAAGCGGAGCAGCGCTTGTTTTTGCGGGTGTATGGCATGTGCCCGGAGCTGCTGCCGCACCAGTCGCAGCTCCGTGCCGCCGCCCTCACCGATGAAGTGCAGCAGCACAACCTCAGGTTGAAAAATACGCTAGACTGCGCGGACGCGGTCCCGCTGTGGCATCGCGCTTGCGTGATACGTGGGGAGACAGAGAGCGAGGAGGACATCAGCTTTCGCCGACTCGCATTTGCGTGTCTAGTGCAAGCGCACGCTATGGAGGAAGAATACGTGGAGCGTGATGCAGCGACGGGGTGCCTGCGGAGGACCAATAAGCCGGTGCCAGCGTATATGCGAGACGCGGTGGACTACAGCTTGCGGTTTGAGCATCTCGCGCTCGTGTGGAACGAGGAAACGGATCGAATGGCGATTACCGACGCCGCCGAGGCAGCGCTCTCAGCCCAGTTAACTCCATAAGGCAAAAAGCTCTGAACAAGTTCGCAATGCCGCGGAACACCTCTTGGTTTGCTGTTATACCAAGAACTTGCTGCCCCTCTCAACATCGCAGTTTTCACTGCGTTACTGGAATAGAGATGATATGTAGAAGCTTTTCTCTCTCTTCCTGTGGAACTCCAAATGTACATCTTTTTTTTCTAAAACTCCCGCTCTTTCTTTTCGTTGAAGTACTCAGACTCGGCGAAAGATGCTGTTTCACAAACATATATATATATATAATATGTAAATTCCCGTGCTCATCTCGTCAGAGCCTGATGCGTGTATTTCTCTCTTGGTTCTGTTGTGCTTTCCCTTTTTTTTTGGACTTGCCAGTAAAGTCAAACGGTGAAGTGATAGTAGAAAAAATAATAGAGCCCGCTTTCTCCTTCCTACGTTCGTTTGCCGTGTGTCGTCTCCAGACACAGACAGCAGGAAAGCAAAACATGAATCACGTCAGAACGGAAAGAGGACATGCTCGGGATGTGCGGTGTGGCTCTTCCATTGGGGACGGAGCCTCGACATCATCAAAGATGGTGGGTCGTCTGTTCTACGCTTCAGCTTTCGTATTAGCTCACTGAAGCTTTCTTTCAACTCCTTTTCTTTCACACCTATTCGTCTTCCTCTATTCATTAATACCTTTCACCCTTTTCACAGCCTAAGTGCTTGTATTCTGTGAGGATCAAAACCAACGAACTATTGTGGCGGTCACCTTATTTGAGCACCGAAAGCAGAGAAACACAAGGAAGGAGGAGAAAGAAGAGCTTAAAGCCCTTGAGTGGATCCATTCCCCCCTACTCCCCCTCCTCGCACTCCCGCACAGGATCAGGACAGAATTGATTCGGCCTCTTTTCTGCCGTGATAGCTGACGACGTACGCTAAAGCGTTCGTTTCTGCCTCTTCGCTGATATCTCCTCTCCATTTTCCTTCGTTGTTTGGACAGCATCGCTCTCCCCTCCCCCGCTTGAGGTCGACACGAACCTCCTAGTGCGTTTCTCTACTATCTTCAAGGAGTCACGATGAGCGCTCGACCAAGCCGAAGAACCTCCAACGCCAAGGCGACCCCCGCCTTTGCGGCTTTTGCACCCAGCTCGAAGCGCGCCAAGCTGGAGGCCTCGCAGCGCAACCCCGCTCACATCTCTAAGGACATCGCCGATGCCTGCGGCTCCGTCAACCCCCTGTCCGGCCAGCTCTACGGCGACGGCTTCAGCAGCGGCGCACAGGTCGGTGCTCCCAACCGGCTCACGAACTATCAAGCCTCCACCGCGGGCCTCGTACCACACCCGCCCACCTCCCAATCTGCGGGCGGGGCCACCACTGACCCCACCACGGCATCAGCAGCCACGCCTGCGGTTGGCAACGTGTCCCGCGGGCGCGGAGGGACCCACATGGTGAACTCCCTGCAGGTGTTCGAGGCGCCAAAGAAGTCCGATGCGGAGCTGAGGAGCATCTTCGCTGCCACGACAAAGTCCAAGTCTGTCTCCTCACGCAGGCCGCCGGCGAAGACCGCCGCAGCCGCCACGGCACCGAGCAAACTTGTCCCGCCGGCGAGTCAGTCCCGCTCGGCCGCGGTCAGCGACAGCGCATTGCCCACCGCAGCCGCCACGGCACCGAAGGACTTCAGCGCGACCACCGCGGCGGAGGCCGCCCAACGTGCCTTGGCGACGATTCCGCGCTTCCACAAGACGACGTCGAACGCGCCGAACGAGTTTGTGTATTTGGTCATGCGCCCACGTGGGATGCGCGACCCGCTGAACCCGTACGATCTACAGCCGGTGCCGCGGACCGAATTGCGAGGCAAAAGCTACTTCACCGTCTCTGCGGCTGGCGTGACGCACTTTAATGACTCGGGGGCCGAGTTTATTGAGCTGCCCAAGTGGGAGCGTGAATGCCGCATCTTCCACACTATACGCGAGCTACCCGTCTTCCACGACTACCAGCAGTGGCGCAACTTCGTCCTATGGCGCAATCTCGTCCGCCACAGTGCGACCGGCAGCAGCCGGCAGTTTTTGTCGTCGCACCTCTTTGCGGCCCACCCCCACCTGTCCGGGGCGCTGCTCGCGGTGCGCAAGGAGTGCCTCGACACCGCTGCCGCGGAGGACCTGTACGAATCGTGCACCGAGACGCGCACGTTGGAGGCGTACACAGATGCGCTGCACGCCCACCTGCAGGAGAAGAAGCGGCGCCTGGAGCAGATGATGAAGCGCATCCGCGACCACGTTGAGCAAGCGTGCAAGACGGCGATGTTCACCTGGCAGGTGGACCGCGAGCGCCAGAAGATGCTCTACGAGGATGAGGAGCAGCAAAAGAAGAAGGCCTTCGACATACGCGAATTGGGCACGCAGGAGCAGCCATCCTACATCGAGCTCACGCAGCGCAAGGCCATGTGCCGCCGCCTGGCTGCCTTCATCAAGCTGTGCGACTACCTCGTCGTGGAGTGCCTGACAGGGCTGGCTGGGAAGGCGGTGACACACCTGCGGCACGACTTGGGGGTGTCCGGCACGGCTTCAACCGGCGCGGCGGCCGCCATGACGTCCGGCGCAGGGGAGCGCTCCCGCAAGGCCGCCGCCGCCAGCGCAAACGCAGCCGCCGGTGCCGCCAACCTCGACTTTACGGGGCCGTTGTGGAACGTGGAGGTAGTGTACAACTCCGATTTGCAGGCGATCGAGCTGGTGCCGTCCGAAGCGCAAATCCGCGAGTCGATCGAGGACATCGTCGGCGACTACGTGCGCGCCGTCGGCGCCATTCCCCGCCTCACCTCCCTTGGCACCTTTAAGGTCTACACTTCCAACGCGCAGGACGAGCTGGGCAACGACACCATCGGCGCCGGCCCCGACGTGGCGGAGATGGTGATGGTGGAGGAGCGCTACAAGAACGACGTTGCAGCCATCCAGTCCACACTCAGTGAGTCGTTCACCAAGATGCGCAACCACGCCAACACCTTCGAGAGGTTTAAAGAAATGTATATTACAAACAGTCACCTCAAGAGGGAGGCGCTGCTGAAGCGCGACGACACATTGCAGTTCTTCCGCGACCAGCTCGCGACGTACAAGGTGCAGATGGAGGCCATTTCAACCAAAATTCCGAGCTGCGCGGATGTGGGGATGATGCGCATGTGGACAGAAGGGCTGCGCGAGTTCTTCACGCCGAGTCCGGTGACCTGCTTGGGCATCTACCACCAGGTTCTCCCCATCATCGCCAAGCGCCGCAACGAGACGCTCTTAAAGGAGTTGCAAGAACGCACGACCTACTTGGCGGCGACGCCGAAGACCATCGAGCACTACGTCGAGTACGTGGACTACTGCAACAAGCTGGAGAGCTCCTTCGACGACATCGTCAACTCGTACGACCTCGTCCGCGACTTGTTTTCCTTGATGCAAAACGAGAAGATTGAAGTGAACGAAGAGGAAGAGGAGACCTACCGCAGCGGCACTCGCCCGCAGTTTGACAAGCTGCGTACGCTGCTGCAGACCACCGAGGACAGCAAGGAGGCGCAGCAACGCTTCTTCAGTCGCAGCATTGAGGAGGAAATGGACCAGCTGCGCCGCCGCATCGAGTCCGTCTATGACCGTGCTGGGCAGCCGATCGTCATGTCCGGCGACGCCGAAGTGGAAGAGGCGAATGCGTACATGACAAGTCTCCTCGCGGAGGCAGAGGGCATCGCAGCGCGGGAGAAGAAGCTGCGCGAGTTCCAGATCGAGATCGGCGCCGAGGAGACGATCGTGGAGGTGATGAACGAGATGCTGAATGATGTGACCATCAAGGCACGCTTGTGGACCGGCATTGGCGACTGGAAGACGTTCACCGAGGAGACGCGTGTCCTCCCGTTTGACCAGCTGGACGTGCCGGCGGTGCAGGAGGTGGTGCAGAAGTTTGCGACGCTGGTGAAGCAGGTGTCGTCGAAGCTGTCCAACAACCGCGCCGTCCCGCGGCTGCGCAGCAGCGTGGAGGAGTGGCGGCAGCTCCTGCCGGTCCTGCAGGCCCTCACGAACCCCTCGCTCAAGTCGGAGCACCACGCGAAGATATCCGCCGTGGTGGGCCCCATCGCCGATGCAAACGGCACGGCGAAGACACTCGCGGAGTGGTCGAATCAGTTTACGATTGAAATGCTGTTGGAGCACCGCATTCTGAAATACCGCGATGAGATTGCCGCGGTGAGCTCTGCGGCCACCGAGGAGGACAAGCTGCAGAAGCAGATCGACAAGGTGAACGCGATATGGAACGGCGGTGGCCCGAAGCCGCCGGTGGAGTTTCAGTTCCACGCGCACAAGGATAGCAAAGATGTCTTCACCTTGGTGGGGAGCTGCGTCGAGGACGTCACGACGATGCTGGACGACTCGGCGGTGGCCATCTCGACCATCGGCAGCAGCAAACATTGCCAGGGCGTCTTGCGCTCGCAGGTGGATCGGTGGGAGAACCGGTTCAAGTACATGCTGGAGACGCTGGACAAGTGGGTGGAGCTGCAGCGCAGCTGGATCTACCTCGAGAACATCTTCTCCTCGTCAGAGATCCGCAGCCAGTGGAAAGACGACGCGCAACGCTTTGAGAAGGTGGACCGCTTCTACAAGGATCTCATGCACAAGGCACACGACCTCCCCACTGCCTACCGCAGCCTTCTCATCAACCCGCCTTCGTTTGACACCGCAGAGTCAACGGCTGCAGCGGGGCGTACGCTGAAGCAAGACCTCGACACGTACATTAAAGAGCTGGAAAAGGTGCTGCTGAGTTTGGAGAAGAAACTCGAGGAAAAGCGTCGTGCCTTTCCTCGCTTCTACTTTCTCAGCAACGACGACTTGCTGGACCTGCTCGCGAAGGTCAAGACACCCGAGCTGATGATGCCGCACATGCTGAAGATGTTCGACGGCATCAAGTCGCTCTCACTGGGCTCGCAGAACGACATTACGCACCTCAACTCGATTGAAGGGGAGACGGTGGAGTTGTGCAACAAGGGCATCAAGGCGCGTGGCGCGGTGGAAACGTGGATGGACCTGCTGGAGCGGGAGATGTTCGCGACACTGCGCTTCCGCGCGCAGCGGTGCCTGGAGGACTACGAGGCCCGCGACGACCGAACGGAGTGGATGTTCCAGCACCCTGTGCAGCTCGTGCTGATTGTGGAGCAGTTGCTGTGGACCCGCAGCGTGGAGGAGGCGCTCGACAAGCAAGACTCGCCACAGCTGATGCAGAGCCTTCGCGGGGAGCAGCGGTCGAATCTGGAGGTGCTGGCGGAGTTGACGGCGCGCAGCCTGTCGCGGGTGCAGCGCGTCCTTCTCTCTACCCTCATCACGATCGACGTGCACGGCCGCGACTTGGTGGAGGACATGTGCGAGAGCGGCGTGACGGAGTCGAAGGAGTTTGGCTGGACGAAGCAGCTTCGCGTGTACTGGGAGAAGAACACCGACAGCAACGGCACTCTCTTTATTCGGCAGAACAACTCACGCTTTGTGTACGGGTACGAATACCTTGGCGCGCAGGGCCGCCTCGTGATTACGCCGCTGACGGACCGCATTTACATGACGGTTACGGGAGCGTTGAAGCTGCACCTCGGCGCCTCGCCTGCAGGGCCCGCCGGAACCGGCAAAACGGAAACCGTCAAGGACCTCGCCAAGAACCTGGCTCGGCAGTGCATCGTGTACAACTGTTCCGACGGCATCACCTACAAGATGATGGAGAAGTTCTTCTCGGGCCTCATTCAGACCGGCGCGTGGGCCTGTCTCGACGAGTTCAATCGCATCAACATCGAGGTACTGTCCGTGATTGCGTCGCAGCTGCTGGAGATCAAGTTAGCCCTGCAGAACGCACAGGAGACGTTCACCTTCCAGGGCACCCCCGACGTGCGAGTGCGGCCAACCTACGGTGCCTTCGTCACCATGAACCCCGGCTATGCCGGACGCACAGAGCTGCCCGACAACTTGAAAATTCTGTTCCGCCCGGTGGCGTGCATGACGCCGGACTTCCGCATGATTGCCGAGGTGATTCTCTTCTCGGAAGGTTTCAAGAACGCCCATGACCTGTCGCTCAAGATCACGCAGCTGTACAAGCTCAGCTCCGAACAGCTGTCACCGCAGGACCACTACGACTTTGGTATGCGCGCCTTGAAATCTATTCTTGTAATGGCCGGCGACCTGAAGCGCTCGCAGCCGGATGTGGAGGAGGATCTTACACTCATTGTGGCCTGCAATGACTCAAACGTGCCGAAGTTTGTGGCGGAGGACATCCCACTCTTTCAGGGCATCATGCAGGATCTGTTCCCCGGCGTGTCGTTTCCAGAGCGCGAGTACGAGGAGCTGCTGCCGGCGATGCAGCACATCATGGACGAGAAGAAGCTGGTGGACGCAGGGCAGTGGGTGAAGAAGGGCATTCAGTTCTACGAGACCCTAATTGTACGGCACGGTGTGATGCTGGTGGGCGTGACGGGGACCGGCAAGACAGAGGCGCGTCGCTGCATCGCTGGAGCGCTCACGAACATGTCCGCCGCCAAGAGCGCGAACAAGATGGCGCGGCCGGTAGAGGAGTACGTCATTAACCCCAAATCCATCCTCCTGCACGAGCTCTACGGCCAGCTGGACGTGAACACGAATGAATGGAAGGACGGCGTGCTCGCGGCCATCGCAAAGGAGTGCGTGCGTGCCTCGGAGACGTCCTCGAACCACCGCTGGATGGTCTTTGACGGTCCGGTGGACACGCTCTGGATTGAGTCGCTGAACTCTGTGCTGGACGACAGCAAGCTGCTCTGCCTCGACAGCGGGGAGCGAATTAAGCTTCCCGAGACGATGCACATGCTCTTCGAGGTGGGCGACTTGGCTGTTGCCTCGCCGGCCACGGTGTCGCGGTGTGGTATGGTGTACGTCGACGCTGAAGACCTGCCCTGGCGCGCGGTGGCAGAGCAGTGGGTGGAGACGAAGCTTGCACAGGCCGGCGCGCAGCCGCAGTGCCGCGCCTACGTGCTCTCTCTGTTCGACGCGCACGTGGAGAAGGGTCTGGAGTGGCTGCGGCAGCAGCGCTCCGCCATGCTCATAAGTGCCGGTGACATAAACGTGGTGCAGTCCCTCTGCGACCTCTTCTCTGCTCTCATGCAGGTGAACAAGGTGAAGCTCATGGCAGACCCCCAGGCCGTCGAGGACTCCTTTCTGCCACCCGACGACCCGATGTTTCGCGAGCGCAACGAGATCTGCAACGCGCTCTTCGCCTTCTCGTACGTGTGGTCCATCGGCGGCAACGTCGATCAGGCTGCCATGGAGAGTTTCGACACGATGGCCCGCACGGAGCTGGAGGGCGCCGTCCGCTTCCCCAACTACGGCAGCGTGTACGACTACACCGTCAACTTCACGACTCGTCTGCTCGTGCCGTGGGAGTCGCTGATGCCGGACTTTACCTACAACCCCGCCACGCCCTTCTTCAACGTTCTCGTGCCGACCATCGACACAGTGCGGTACAGCAGTATCGCGCAGACTCTCCTCGCCGCCAAGAAGCCGGTTCTCTTTAACGGTCAGACAGGCGTCGGCAAAACGTTCATCATGGCAGACTGCCTGCGCCGCAACAAGGAGGCGCTGCAGCTCTCATTGGTGACCTTCCAATTCAGCGCACAGACGTCGTCCGAGCGAACGCAGGAGCTGATTGAAGCGAAGCTGAAGCCGAAACGAAAGAATCTGCTGGGCGCCGCACCGGGCAAGTCCGTTGTGCTCTTCATCGATGACTTGAACATGCCGGCCGTCGAGGTCTTTGGCGCGTCGCCGCCGATCGAGCTGATACGACAGCTGATGGGCCACGGCGGCTTCTACGATCGCAAGGTGGCGGGCATGTGGAAGACAGTGCAGGACGTCACCGTTGTGTCCGCCTGCGGACCACCGGAGGGCGGCCGCAACCCCATCACGCCGCGCCTCACCCGCCTCTTCCACCTGCTGCAAATCGCGACGCTGACGGACGACTCGATGAAGCGCATCTTCCGGTCCATCCTGAGCGGCTTCCTGGAGGCAAAGAACTTTCCGCACGAGATGAAGGACCTCGCACCCGCCGTTGTGAGAGGCAGCGTGGACATCTTCAACCGGATCTGCGACGAGCTGCGACCGCGACCGACGACGCCGCACTACACGTTCAACCTCCGCGACCTCTCCAAGGTGTTCCAGGGCATCACGCAAGTAATTCCACGTGTGTGCCGCGACGCGCCGACCTTTGTGCGGCTGTGGGTCCACGAGCTAATGCGCTGCTTCTACGACCGTCTTGCCAATCCAGCAGATCGGCAGTTCTTCGTCGACGAAGTGCTGACGGACGCGGTGCTGCACGTGCTACCCAGCGCAGCGAGCCCCGCCGCTGCCTCGTCACCTGTTTTGTGGGCCGACTTCACGCGCTTCGGCTCGGCAGAAAAGGTGTACGAGGAGGTGCCAGCGTTCAACCGCATTGCGCAGGTGCTCGAGGAGTACCAGGACGACTACAACGCCACCGCCGCCACGGCCTGGACGAACGACAGCGCGGGGGTGCAGACCTCGCAACTTGGTCTCGTGTTCTTCAAGGATCACTGCGAACACATTGCGCGCATCATTCGCATCCTTCGCCAGCCGCGCGGCAACGTGCTGCTCGTCGGCGTCGGCGGCTCGGGCAAGCGCTCCCTGACCCGGCTGGCGACCTACATCTCGGGCTGCCGCATCTTTGAGACGGCGGTGGGCAAGGGCTACAGCATGAATGATTTCCACGAGTTTCTGCTGGAGGTGTACACGTACGCGGGCGTGAAGAACGAAACGTGCGTGTTGCTGCTGTCGGACAACCAAATCGTTGATGAGGCGATGCTGGAGGACGTGAACAACATTCTCAACTCCGGCGAGGTGCCGTCTCTTTTCAATGCCGAGGAGCGTGAGAAGCGGATTAGCGCGTGCGCTGATGCCGCCCAGCAGCAGGGCATCACGAGCCGCGAGGAGGTCTACAACTTCTTCATTGGACGCGTGCGGGACAACATGCACATCGCCTTGTGCATGAGCCCGGTGGGCGATCAGTTCCGCACCCGCTGCCGACAGTTCCCCTCCCTCACCAACTGCTGCTCCATCGACTGGTTTGATGAGTGGCCGCGCGAGGCACTGGAGGGGGTGGCGGCGCGCATGCTGGAGGACCTCGTCGACGTCGTGCCCGCCGACTTCCACGCACTGCTGCCACATCTGTGCGTGGACGTGCACGCCTCGACGACGCACATGGCGCAGCAGTACTACGACGAGCTCCGCCGGCGGTACTACATTACGCCGACGTCCTACTTGGAGTTCATCGAGTCCTACAAGGCGTTGCTGCTGTCGCAGCGCAGTCGCGTGGAGGCGCAGCTGGCGCAGGTGGAGAACGGTACCGAGAAAATGCGCGAGACGGAGGAAATGATCACAAAGATGAAGGCCGAGATCGAAGTGAAGCGCCCGCTGCTGGAGAAAGCGTCGACGGAGACACAGGAGGTGGTGGTGGACCTGAAGGTGCGCCAGACAAAGGCGGCCGAGGTGCAAGTGCAAGTGCGGGCTCAGCAGGAGAGTGCGACAATACAGCAGCGTGACGCGTCGCAGATCGCGGCCGAGGCGAACGCGCGGCTGGCCGAGGCGAAGCCGATCATTGACAAGGCGAAGGCCGCGCTCGACACTATTCAAGCAAGCGACCTGAATGAGCTCCGCTCCTTTGCAAACCCGCCCACAGCGGTGCTGACAACCACGCAGGCATGTATGACGATGTTTGATGCGAAGGACTTCAACGGGGCGTGGTCGGGCAACATGGACTGGAAGGGCGCGCGAGAGTTCCTGTCCTACCGCCCGCTGCTCGACATGATTCGTGGCTACCCGACCGAAAATGTGAAGCCGGCGATCCTGCAGAAGGTGCAGAAATTTGTCAACGACCCCGAGTTTACGGTGGAGGTGTGTTCGCTGAAGGGTAGCCAGACCTGCGGCTCACTCTGTGCGTGGGTGCACGCCGTGAACGAGTACTCGAAGGTGGTGAAGGAGGTCGCACCGATGCGGCAGGCGGCCGCGGAAGCCGAGCAACACCTCGCAAAGACGAACGCCAAGCTTCACGCGGCGCAGCAACAGCTGAAGGAGGTGGAGAAGGAGCTGACAGACCTAGAGCAGCGCTACCAGATCAGCGTCACCAAGAAAAACGACCTAGAGAAGGGACTGCAGCTGTGCATCAACCGGCTGCGCAACGCCGAGACGCTCACGGGGTCGCTGAAGAGCGAGGGGGCGCGCTGGGCGGAGAATGTCAAGCTGCTGAGCGCGCAGCTGAGTGCGCTGCCGCTGCAGGTGTTTATGGCCAGCGCGTGCGTTGCCTACTTTGGCGCCTTTACCCCGGCCTTCCGGCAGCGCCTCATCGCGGAGTGGAAGGCGGAGCTGACGAGCCGCGGGCTGGAGGTGGGCGGCTTTTCACTGACGTCAGTGCTGGGGGACCCGGTGGACACGCTGAACTGGCAGGTGAACGGGTTACCGAGCGACGAGACGTCGACGGAAAATGCGATTGTCGCGTTGCTCTCGTGCGCGCCGCGCCGCTGGCCGCTCTTCATCGACCCGCAGGAGCAGGCGATGAAGTGGCTGCTGCGGCAGTTTCAGCAGACACAGCCGGTCAGCGGATCGGGCGCCGCGGCATCGAAGAACCGCAACCTGCTGAAGGTGATCAAGCTGACGGATGCGACGTGGATGCGCACGCTCGAGTCGCAGATCCGCCTGGGCGGTGTGGTGATCATCGACGACGTCGGCGAGTCGCTTGACCCGGCCCTGGAGCCGCTCATCGCGCGCCGCCTCATCTCCTCGGATGCGGGCGGTTTGCAGATCCAGCTGACGCCCCAGTCCGGCCCGATCGACTACCACCCGAACTTCCGCCTGTTCCTGTGCAGTAAGCTGCCGAATCCAGTGTACCTGCCGGACGTCAGCACTCGCCTAACGCTGCTGAACTTCACCGTAACGATGGAAGGCCTGTCGGAGCAGATGCTCGGCGAGGTGGTCTCGATTGAGCAGCGCGCGATGGAGGAGGAGAAGAACACGATGATTCAGCGCATCGCGCAAGGCCAGCGGCGCCTCAAGACGATTGAGGAGAACATCTTGGAGCGTTTGCAGAGCACCAAAGGCAACATCCTTGACGACGAGGACCTCATCCGCGAGCTGCAGTCCGCGCAGTCCAACGCAGCCGTCATCAGCCGCAGCCAGGAGGAGGCGAACGAGAAAATGGCGATCATTTCCGTCGCTCGTGACAAGTACCGCAGCGTGGCCGTGCGAGCTGCGCTGCTGTTTTTTGTGCTGGCGGACGTCGGCCGCATGGACCCGATGTATCAGTACTCGCTGCAGTACTTCGTGAAGCTGGTGCAGCACGAAATCGAGGGCACAGTCAAACCGGCAGATTACACGGAGTCCAACGCGGAGATGCTCTCCCATCACCTGAGCGCCGCCATCGCCAACCTCACCGGCGCGACCTACACGCAGATTTGCAGCGGGTTGTTCAACAAGGATAAGACGATTCTGTCGCTGCTGATCGCCACCGCCATCGCGCGGCATGACAAGGTGATTGCAGAGGAGGAGTGGCAGTACTTTGTGCGCGCCTCGGCTTTTGTTGCCGCGGAGCTGCCCGAGAAGCCGGCGCAGCTGTCGTGGATGACGCGTGTGCAGTGGGAGCTGGCCGAGGCGCTCAACCGCACCGTGCCCGCCTTCCACGAATTGCTGGAGAGCCTGCAAAGCCAGTTCGATGAGTGGAAGGCGTTTGCCCACTCGGACGTCCCTCACGCGGCGACTCTACCGGCGACGTGGCAGGCGGATCTGAACCTCTTCCAGCGGGTCTTGCTCATCCGATGCTTCCGCGAAGAGAAGCTCTTCTTTGCCTTATACGACTACGTGCAGCAAACGATGGGGCCCCAGTTTATTGAGGCGCCGCCCATGGACTTGGCTCGCACACTGAAGGACAGCACGCCGCACACGCCGATCATCTTCATTCTCTCGCAGGGCGCCGATCCGATGGAGGCGCTGCAAACGCTGGCGAGGACGGAGGACAAGGAGCTGCAGTACGTGAGCCTGGGCCAGGGCCAGAGCGAAAATGCGAGGCGCCTCATCGCCTCCTGTCGCACCTCCGGCGCGTGGGCTCTCCTGCAGAACTGCCACCTCTCTCAGACCTTCATGCCGGAGCTGTCAACGATTGTGGCCAGCCTGCAGCCCGGTGCGACGAACGCGGTAGAGATGCACCCCAACTTTCGTCTGTGGCTCACGTCGATGCCGACCGACTTCTTCCCTGTGTTTGTCCTGCAGTCGAGCATCAAACTTACCAACGAGCCGCCTACGGGCCTGCGGGCGAACATGCTGCGCTGCTTCAACGAGCTGACACCGCAGGAGTACGACGCCTTCAGCGATGCGGACACCATCGGTGACGAGATGAAGGGGCGCGCCTTCAAGAAGCTGCTGTACGGGTTGTGCTTCTTTCACTCGGTCGTGCTGGAGCGGCGCAAGTTCGGCCCACTCGGCTGGAACGTTCGGTACGAGTGGAGCGACACCGACTTCCACGTGTCGAAGCAGTGGCTGCGACTTTTCTTTGAGGAGCAAGAGGCGATCCCGTGGGAGTCGCTGGAGTACATCATTGGCCAAATCAACTACGGCGGCCGTGTGACGGACCCGCAGGACCGTGGCATTCTCCTCACAATCCTGTGCAACTATCTGAGCCCGCGCATCCTGAAGGAGGGCCATCGCTTCTGCGAGGAAGGCGTCTACGCCGTTCCGATGAGCGGGACGCTGGCGGAGGCGCAGCAGCACATCCAGGCCATGTCCCTCGTCGACGAGCCCGCCGTGTTCGGCATGCACGAAAACGCGAATCTGCGCTACCAGCTGCAGACCAGCGAGTACTTGCTAAACAAGATCGTGTCGATCCAGCCGCGCCTGGTCGGCTCTGCGGGCGGCTCCGGCGCGACCCCCGAGGAGGAGGTGTGCCGTAAGTGTCAGGAGTTCGAGACCACGCTGCCACCCCTCTTCACAAAGGAGGAGGCCGGCCCTCACACCTTCACTACGCTGCCCAACGGACTGCCGAACTCGCTGTCGACGGTGCTGTCGCACGAAATCGGGAAGTACAACAAGCTGCTGTCGAAGATCAGCCAGACGCTGTCGGACATGCAGAAGGCACTCCAGGGTCTGACGGTGCTCTCGGCGGACCTGGACGCCATGTACAGTTCGTTCCTTGCCGATCAGGTGCCACAGTTGTGGACGGCGGTGTCCTACGCCTCACTGAAGCCTCTCGGCGCCTGGTACCGCGACCTGCTCGCGCGTGTACACTTCATTCGCACGTGGGTGCAAAAGGGCGAGCCGGCGGCTTTCTGGATCGGCGGTTTCTTTAACCCGAGCGCCTTCATGACGGGCGTCTACCAAGCCTACGCGCGGGCGGAGAGCGTGTCGGTGGACAAGTTAGGCTTTCAGTACGCCGTGCTGGACACGGCAGCGGCGCACGCGATCAAGGCGGCGCCGGAGCGTGGGTGCTACGTGTACGGCATTCAAACGGACGCGTGGCGGTGGGACTCTGAAAGGCGAGTAATGGCCGATTCCTTGCCTGGGGAGCCCTACGCAGAGCTACCGCCCGTGCACTTCTTGCCGGAGCCGTACCACGTCAAGCCGGAGGACTACCACGCCGTGCCGCTCTACCGCACCACCGTTCGCGCCGGCGTCATCTCGTCGCTGGGTGCCAGCTCGAACTACGTTTTGTCTATCGAGGTACCGTCCGCGGATGGCTCGGACTACTGGTTACTGAAAGGTGCGGCATGCGTCTGTGCCCTCAATCAGTAGGCCGTCCTTTTCTTTTCTTTCCTCCTCTGAGTATGCTGCTTTGAGTTCAGCTTGCTGTTGTACGGCGTGAGGCTTCTCTGTTTGCCCTTTTCTTTTGGCGTTGGCAGATGATGTTCTTGTTTTGCTTCCCTTTACACTCTTTTCCATCCCCCCCCCTCCTTTTACACCTGACCGTTAGAGGATGTTTTTTTTTCTTTTAAGATGACGCTATGCACAATACGGATTCGACCTGTGTGTCCCTCCCTCTCCCTCCCTCTCGTCGGGGGGGGGGGGTGCCTGCCTCTTGCCTTGTTGTTTTCGCCTTCGCTGCTACGCTTCGCCTCCACTACACGTCTGCTTTTGCCGGCTGGGGGAAAACGGCGCTGTATTTATTGTGTCCTTCCATTTGCGTAGTGCGTATTACTCGGGCACCACAAACGTGGCCGCAGTTGAAGGTTGGTCTTTACTCTTCTAGTTGTTTCTTTATCTTTCCACTGAGAGTGCTATTCCGCGATGTAACCATGTACATACAGGTGCTTTTATTTATTATTATTCCTGTGTTCTTGATGTGAAGAAACAAACAAACAGACACCTATTCTCTGTTAGACTGCAATATATATACATATCTTCAGAAGAGAAAACTGAGGTTTGCATCGCTGCGTGTTGCGCGCGCGCGACGCACCTCCGTGTGCTCATAGCCGAGTGAGGCAAGGGTACAATCACCAGCGCGTACGAGGAAAGAAATGCACAACCGGTTGCGCACCAACGCCCCAAAGTGGCGCAAACACAAATTCTTTTTTTTTTGGAATCATTCAGGTCAATGCGCACGTGTTTTTCTTCATTTCCACTTTTGTGAACCGAGCTGAGCGACTCCTGTAGGAACCCTATCAGTGCTTCTCACTTGCACCTTCCCTTTCCTTTCTCGCTCTTCTCTTTTCTGGACAAGACGCACCACAAACACGACCCGGATTGAAGCTGGCTTGCCCATCCGCTTTCGGTCATCTGCGGCCTCTGTGTTAAAGTCAAACTCTTGCGACTCGAAAAAAGCAAACGGAGGAGGCACACACTACAGTTTTTTTTCTTACTGCAAAACCAATGTCTGAGACGATCGATCAGATATTGCTCAACTGGCTTGAGCAGACTCCTGGCGTGCCACGGCGCGAGCGCCAAGCCCTGCTGCTGAAGGAACTGATGGCTGTGCACACACTGCGCAATCTCGCAGCACATGAAGACACCGTGATGGACCAGATGGGCCCATCCAGCAATGACGATACTAGTAAACTCGATCAAGCTGCGGTCAGCGCGCTTGCGGAGCGCGAGAAGAAGCTTTGTGGAGCGCTGCGTAACACGTTAGTGGAAATTGTTGACGTCGCCGAAGCTCGGCGCACGGCGGAGTGCCTCACCGTCTCCACCGATCTCAATGTTTTGTACGGCGCACTGGACGCCCACTGTGTTATGTCGCTGCGTGTCATGGGTGACGGTTCGCGGCAGCCGGCGCAACTGCTTCGCGGGGTCGACGACATCATCAACGAACTCAGCGAGTTTCAGGAAACCGTCCTGCTTTTGCGCGTCGACTTGTCGACGTCGCCGGTGCGCTCGCACAACAGCAACCACGCCGTCGCGCAGTCCATAACCGTACGAGGTGTGTCGCCGGTGCAAAGCTGGCTCGTGCAGTGTGACGTGGAGCTGGAAGTCGGAACGCAGGTTACCTACTATGCGGATGCGGACTGCACGAAGGCGCTGTTCGACCTGCGCAGCTCGCTGTTATTTTCGGCGGATGGCGCGAAGGTGGAGCGCATCTCGCGCGAGCTGTTGCCGCGAGGTGGGCATCATTTAGGTGATCTGCTCCGGTGTCTCCACTTTGGTTGTTTTCAGGCGTAAAAAAGAAAAAGCCGTTCATGTTCTGCCTTTTAAGTTCCTCTTGTCTCTGGTGGCGGTACTGCGCACGCTTCGACCGCCTTCGGTTTGTGTCGATGCTGTCGTGTTCGTTAGATTTCACTTCTTTTCTTCCTTGTTAGATTTGCAGACGGCATTACAAAAGAGGAGCCAAAACTGCTAGCCCCTTTCTCCACTTCACCTTACATGTGTTATTTTTTTTTTCAAGTAGTCAGAGGCCGCAGCGATATGATGTGGTGTTTGCCACTTATTGTTCCCCGTTTTTTTTCTTGCTTACAACGCGATAGATCTACTGAAATAGCTTTCATTTCAAGTACAATGGCGGAGGCTGTCTTCGCGGATGGAGAGTGAGAGTTCGCTGCAACCGTTTGCAGGCGTCCGTTCGTGCGAGCGAATCCACCTCTCATTACGCGCAACGCTGTTGGTCTGTGCCCCCCTCCCTCCCCGGCGGTAGAAGAGTGTGCACCGCGAGTTCTTCTCAAATGAAGCCGACCGTTACCTTTGTGTTTGTCCTATCCAGTTGATGAGCACAACTTGGTGAGGCGCATCAGATTTTGCGTATGCAGAATCTGAAGAGATGCCTCTGCCGCGGTGCAGGGAAGTCGACGAGGCTCCTACGGCCTAAGTTGTTTTACCCCTCCTGTGTAGCACCACTTTCCTTAAAGAACAATGTAATGGTGCGCACGGCAACTCGGCTGCGAGGCTGCGAAGACTACCACTGAGGGTGACTCTCTCAACGTTGTTTTTGTATCTCATCCACTTTTTCCATCCTTTTCAACTCCTGCTATTCCTTGCACCGTGAAAAGAGAAACAAAAAGAACCTCGAAATTCGAGTTCCGCGTCTGCCAGAGCAACAAATGGAGGTGCGATCGGCGCGGCCACCGGCCAACAGGGCAGTCGCTGCGTTGCAGTCCGCCTCCAGCGCCCCCACGTCCGCCTCTCCTCTCCTCACTAACGCACATCCCAGACGCTCCGGCGCACCCATTACTCGTTATAACTCCTTCGAGGCGCTCTGCCAGGCGACGCAAACGGTGGACGAAAACGCCGAGCTCCGGGAGGAACTGCGCCGCAAGCTTCCACAGCCCATTCCACGCAATGACGTGGCGGCGCTGGGCAGCCAGGTCACGGTGCGCATCTTAGAGCTGCTGGACCCACTGGGTGCGGACGCCGCTGCGTTCGCCGCGACCTGCCGAGCCGTCCGCGAGAGTCTCCTTCGCGCGAGCAACGTGGAGAAGACTGTCATGGTGCCGAACATGGTCTCCGCCGCCGCCTTTGCCTCCGAGGTGGTGCGGAGCGCACTGTACACCTTTTTCGTTGCCCGTGGGGGCGAAGTGAGCAGCCTTGTGATGCGAAGGGCGGACGAGGCAACGGCACGGGAGGAGCGTGGCGAGGCATCGTTTTTGGATGCGTCTCCGCTTCGTCTCCCCGTTTCGTGGGCTCTCCAGTTGGTGTCGCACATGCCGTATCTGACCGAGCTCGATCTGCGTCACGTGCAGTGGGGCGAGTCGCACGCGTCCCAGGTACTGCCGCATTTCTTTAGTGACCTTCATCTTGTTATCAGCGGCACCCTTCGCATTTTAAAAGTAGATGCTGCTCTGATGCAGTATTGGAAGCCCGGGTGGTGGCGTCGCCATGTCAACCTTCGTACACTAACCGTGGGCTGTCGGTACAGCTTTGCGCCTAGCAGCGACAACGGCGCGTCTTCCGCTACGCAACTGGCACTCCCACCGGATTACTTCACGCTCATGCGCGAGGAGAATCGCCACTGGAAGCTGGAGCTGTGGTGCCCTCTGAAACCGAACTCCATCCAGCAGCTGTTCTCTCCCCCAGCCGGCGTGTCCTTTGCGAGCGTCGAGGAGTTGCTCGTCAACGTGCGGTATAGCGAACACGTATGCGAAGGCGGGGAGCACAGAGGTGGTCGCGCAGCGTCGACAGTTGCGGGGAATGCAGAGGCGATCGCCGCCGCTGAAGCGCCAGCGAGCGCAAAACCAAGCGCAAGTGGTCGAAAGTCACCGGCAACAGGAGATGCACCAGAGGCTGTCGTCGCGTACCCACGACTGAATACGGTGATGATTGTCGACATCGGCGACCGCCCTGAGGGAGCTGCGGAGGCTTATCAAGTAATGATGCTGCTGGCGCCGGAGCTGAAGCACTTTAACGTGTGCGACACCGTGGTGATCGGGGCTGCTGCTGCCGCTTCGGCGACGGAGGGCGGCAAAGGTGAACGCGTAAAACGTGGCGGCGGCACCGCCAATCATGTAAAGTAGAGACGACGACGGCTGATCGAATGTGGCGAGCGATGTACGATACGAGTTTTCTTATGCGCTTTTTGTAAAGTATCTTTGTATGCCGTTTACTTTATTGCGCTCCGCGTTCCATCGCGCAACACCAAGGAAAAAGCGGGGCACACAATGGCAATAATCCTACGGCAACGAACGCGTTGTCGGTGGTGATTCAACGCGCTTTTCAGTCGGCTGCCGCGTAGGCGCCTCGCACGGTTGGAGGTACAGGTGACCTTTTTTTTATAAAGGGCATCGCATTGAAGGATGGTGCAGAAGAGGCGTTATCTATAACGCCACCGTGCGGTCCATTTGTTATGTGTGCATTTCAACCAGCACTTTATTGATGGCGACAACAGCACTTACCATTGCAAAGTCTATTGCAGTAACCGAAACGAAGACCTTGCCTTTGATTGTGTTGTGCAACCCGCACTCTACTCCTGAGCACTCCGTTTTCTTCCCTTTCGCTTTTCTCGTTGCACTGCCAGCAGCAACGGATTCCAAAAAATTCACGTGCGATTCATTTCTTGCTTCTACTGCGTGGATATTTAACGCTTCACGTAGGCGTGTCTCTCGGAGGCAGCAGCCTTCTTGTGTTATTTGAAATGCACACACACACACACACACAAACACACACACATATATATATATATAGAAGTATAGCACTTGCCACCATACTTCATCTAGGGTCTTCTTTCGTACAACAGTTACGTTTTGTCATTCCCTGTCTGTTTTTGTTGTCTCTTTGCCTGGCGAAAGAAATTAGTGCTTCCACGTTTCTCTGGTGCCGTGGTGCGTTGTTGCGTCGTCGCCGTCTGCAAGATTGTAGTTATCCTTGCTTTCTTTGAAGTTTTTTCTTTCCACGCCTGTGCGTGCTTTTTTAGAAATACAAATTAGTTCTACCGTCTGCAAAAACGTTCTCACGGAGGAGAGAACACCTGACAAGATGCAACAGCCAACAACCAGCAGCGCGTTAGACTGCTGCGAGTGTGGCGCAGTTGTAGGGACAGAGGGCCCTCAGCGGGCGACGCTACTGCTGCCATGCCAGCACATTCTTCACATGGGCTGTGTGGAGTTCATCAAGCGTCGTGTGAAGCTCTTAATGGGTATGGACAGCGCAGACGTAGTACAGGACGGAGGTGGGGACTCGGCCGGTGCGCCATTGCCGAACCAAAACAATGATAGTAACAGTAAGAACTGGGTACAGCAGATGTGTGGACGTTGTTTGTGCCCAGCGTGCTCCGCCCCCGTCACGCATATCATTCCCTTGTACCTGCGCAGCGAGGACGATCCAGGGGCGACTCTGCCTGCCAAGTCTGGTGCTGACGGCACCCCAGCGGCCTCTTCTCCACCGCTTTCCGCCGCAAGAGCCGAAGAGGATTACAAGCGTGTGCACTCCGCACAAAAACGCGTCTTGTTGCGTCTGCGCGGCCTCTGCGAGCAGCGACGACGCATGACGGAGCTCACGCACGCCTGCGCCAGCCTGCACGAGCAGCGTGCGCGTTATCTGGCCGACGTGGAAAAGGAGGAGCGTTGCTTTCCCGGCCTCCTTTGCGGCGGTGGTGCGCAGGATGACTCCGCCGTGACGACCACGCCCGGCGTGAGCGGCGGTACCCGTGGCGGGCCATCGGCGCCGGCCGGCATTCCGGTTGAACAGATGGGCATCACGGAGCTGGAGCTGTACATGGCGCAGGTCACGCCTCGTCTGCTGCGCACGCAGGCAGAGGTGCGGAAGGAGCGTCAGATGGTGGAGCGACGAACAAAGAAGTTGAACGCGTTGCGCACGCATTATCACTCCCAAAAAGAGTTGCACGCGCTGGATGCCGAGATTGCAGAACTGCAGGCGCGAGTGCGCGGCGGCGTAAAGAGGAGCACGGCGCATCTCCACGACGATGCACCGCAGCTGCGTGGGCCCCAGCAACCGCCCTCCGTGAGTCCCTCCGAGTCGCCGCCGCTATCACAGCAAGAGCAGTACCACTCAGCACGGGAAGTCATACTGCCGTCCAGGACCGCTGGTGTGCCAGCGCGGAAAAAATATCGGGGTGAGGAGGCGATCTACGTGGACGACGAACCCCCGGCGGAAGTGGTAGAGGTGCTTTCGCAGGGGTCTAGTGATGCAGGGGAGCAGGAAGTGATGGTGTTAGACGACGATGACGCAGTCGCAGAAGTGGTAGGAAACGGCAGCGACTCAGAGGTCAACGAAAGAAGTAACGATGCCGCGGAAGAAGTGAACATGTACGACGCACCATACCTTATTCCTTGCTACATACGCGCATCAACGTTGGCCGGCTCCTCTTCTGTCGATCCAAAGACGCCACGCACGACGCTCACGCACGGCCACGTCCGCATGTTGCCGCGACGAGAAGATCGGCTTTGGCAGCCTAGTCTGCAGTTCTAGATGACTTAACTACATGCCACACTGCTTACGTGTTGAATGCGGCCCAATAAAGACGAGGCGCCGCTGCATTACTCTCCTTCTGTTTCCCCCGAAGATGTCTTCCTTTTCCGATTGTTGAGCGGAGCGGTACCGCAACGCACTCGCGCATGAATCATCCTCTCCTTACTTTTTCACCGCTGCAGCTACCACTCACTCTTGACAAAGTAAATCCTACCACTTTAAGGAAGAAGAGGGCATGGGAGAAATTATGCTTTTTTCAACTTCTTCAGTCGACGCTGGTTGCATGCAAAGACACCACCTAGGAACGAACTATCCTTTCAGCACATGCTTTTCCGGTGTGCTTGTGTGTTCTATTATCGCCTGCATTTCGCACTTTCTCCTCCTCCTCCTCTTCTTTTTTTTCCCTTTCCCTTGATTCTGTGTTTCCTGTGAACCTTTTTAGCAGACAACGTGGTTCTCCTGCCTATGAGCGAAATGAATACGCATACACTCCCCCCTCTTCTTCCGGCTTCGGAGCCTGGTAGGGCTGCTGTGGCTTCCACACTTCCCCTTCCCACTCGTCGAGCAGCGGCAGATGACACGTGCACACCGCAGCGGAAAGCATACATGGCTGTAAACCATCTCTCCACTTCCCGTGCTGTGGCGGAGGCGCAGACGCACAGTGCTATTGGTAATGCCGCTGCTGACGAGGGAGAGGTACGAGCAGAAACACAGAGTAATGAGTCAACATCCCCGCAGTCATGTGAGATGAACAACGCAGACAGTTCACCGCGTGCGGCTACGGTGCTTCAGGCAAAACTCCAATATGCGTTGTGGCTGGATCAGCTGACGTCCTGCGTACACGCCGAGAGCTGCGCCCGCGCCGGGCTGCGCTGCGTCGAAGCCGAGACCCGCGAAGCGCTCTGGTTGACCCATCAACATGCAAGGACGACCGTCGCCATTCGAGAAGAATACGCCCAGCGTTCCCGCGAGCTGCTGGGGGCGCGAACAGCGTTGCAACGCGCGTTCCAACACAACCCCTCTGCTAACGTGATCAAGCGTGAGGAGCGCAGAGCCCGTCATGCCATCAAGCTCGACGCAATGAGTTCTTTTCAATTATTGTGTGTTGCGGAAAGCACAGATCACATGCGGCTCTCTGCGCGTCAACTGGTTGCGGAGCGGAAGGACGCAACGAGCCTGAAAAAGACAGCACAGTCGGTGCGTGCGCTCGAGTTGGAGCTGGCGTCGCGGTCTTACTATGCTATACCCGCTTTTCATTCGTCCTTGCATGACCTTACTCTCATTGCTGAGGGACGCTCTCCGCACGACGCACCGGACGACACGCCCTTGGAAAGCTGGAGACGGCGATACGGCAAGCAGCGCGAGGTCTCGTCTGCCCCCACCGCTGTGAAAACACAGCCGCCTCCGACATGTGGGCCATCCGACCAGAGCACCGTGAAAATAGGAGAACTGTACGCTCGCCGCCATCTCCGATACGATGAAGAGAAAGAGCGTCTTTTTCTTGAATGGTGGAAAGGCGTGGGCGACATCTGGTGTACGCAAGAAGCACCGGCGCGACAACAGCTTCGGCAGCTGCACGCCTTTGTGGCCTCTCCCGTCCGGATGCAGGCCGTTGTGGTGCTCCAGCGGTGGTGGCGTATGCTGCGCTTCCATTTATGGTCGCAGCACCGCCAGGAAAAGCTTGTGGCTTCGCTCGCGGCGTTGCCGCATCGACACTCCACGGACCACTGTAGGCGACATTTGCGTGCGTTGGAAACGGCGGTCGGCCTGGCAGGAAGAGACAAAGACGGTGGCAACTCAGACGCAGATGTTGCGGGGCTTTTGGCAGGGCTGATCACGGCGGCCACGCATCCTCGTCGGTACAGGAGGGAGCTAGACTTATACACGGACACCCTTCTGCGGAAGGTCCGTGCGTTCTGCACAGGCCTTGGCATCGCGCCCGCGTCGCTGATTTCAGTTACCGGTGCCAAAGAAGAATGCTCTCTTCAAGAGGATCCAGGCCAGCTAAGACTTTTGTCCCACGGGGCCCGGGAGCGCCGTAGGTTGTCCGGCGACATGTGGCGACAACCGCGATGGCCTCTGCACTCGATGCTGCAAAGCAGGGACGTCATCAGCCGTAAAAATGAGCGTCACACCCGTGTGCATCCTGCCACCGTTGAGAGTGTCGTGCACGGCGGACCTGCGGGGCTGGCGGATTTGCACGTGGCGCAGCAGGCCATGGCAGAGGAGGCGGCGAAGGCTTATCAGCGCATCACGCATCAGGAAGAGCTTGAGCGTCGTGTGTGGACACTGTCGTTCTCGACACAAGACGCATCTTTGCCTTCTTCCACGTCAGCTCATTGTGCGAGGTCACCTGAAAACGAGACGTCTTCGCGTGCCGGAGATGCGATGCCATCGTCAACTCCCGGTGCATCAACGCACATAGTGGAAGGCCCAAGTAGAAGTGCGCACACAGTGGTGAGTAGCGCTGCCATTTCTTGTTCGACACCTTCTTTTTCTTCTTTCTCTGTTGACGCACGACCCGAATCGGCAGAGGAGCGGCAATGCGTACAGCGCGCAACGGAGGCCTTCCCCATGTCCCAGCGCGAGTGCCGCGACAACGCGTGTGTGGCGATGAGCAACCCGGCGAAGGAGACAAGTGCCGACCCTACGAGTGAGGCTGTTTGCCAATACGGCGCCGCCTTCGACAAGGCTGCGGAATCTGTATGCACGGAGCAGTACACGACCGTGCAGCAGCGCTTCACCGCACTCAACGCAAGCACACTGAATGCTATACGGGCTTTCATCGAAAACGCTCTTAACGAGAAGGCCGACATGGCGGCAGAAGAGAGCGAGGCCCGACACTACTTGATGTTTGGTCAGGAAAGCAACTGCTTCGTCTTACAGTATCGCTTCACGAGTTTGGAAGGCGCGGAAAGGTCACTGCTGACCGAGGCGCAGGAGCGAGAGGCTGACATCATTTACGACTGCTTCAACGAACACCTCCGACTCCTTCAACTTGAATAAAGGAACACCACCGCTGCGTTAGGGCTTGGTTTGGGCAAAGGTTGTCATTGTGTCAGGAACGGTATTAAGTCCCTCCCCCCCCCCCTCGGCAGCATGACCGTGACACCTTTCGCGCAGGGATGCCGAGTGCGGGCGCCGACCCACTTTGACGGCCCGGCAAAGGAAGGCGATCGCGAGGGAGTTGCCTCACACGAGCTTTAGGTGTTTTACTTTCTTGTGCATCCCACAACAGTTAAGAACACGATGAGGCGCCTTGTTTCTTAAGCCTTCGGCTGGCACGTATCTCTCACTCCCTCCTATTTTTTCGCTGGGAATTCCGATGTACATTATATTTCTTACTTCACTCCTTTCTTGGACGTACCATTTTTTTTCTTCTCGTATTTCCGATGGAACTGTGCAAATTATGTTTGATGTGAGGAAGATGTTGTGACCGTCGTGTCTCCGTAACGAGGACCACTTTCTTTCTTCGGTTACTTCTCCCCAAAAGACGAAACGCGCAGCTACGCTAAGTGCAATCCTGTACCGCTTTGCACGGCGGCGTTGCTGCGATAGGCGTGAGGTGAACTGCAGGGACAACGCTTGTGCTGACGGGCGTTATTATTATTATTATTATTATTTGACGCGTGTGTGTGTGTGTGTGTGTGTGTGTGTGTGTTTGCGTTGAAGCTGAGCACGGTTACCCGCGAAGGGGTTCCCGTTTGTTGTCATTGTGCTCCACATACCTACACATCATCTCCGACCGTTTCCTTTTTTTCTTTTGTAGACTGCGCTTTGCAGCGTACCGTCCGCGCCCACGTAGCCGCACCCCTTCACGTTGCGCAGACATCTTTGTTCATCATTGGCGCTGCCTTTTTTGCCTCGTCATTCACCACGACATAAATAGAAGAACCGCGCTTTCAGCGTCTCCCAGCGCGGTACCGCAGGCACCCACTGGGACATATAGGCATACCATACAACAACCGAAATACTATCACACACACACACCCACACACCCGTCATCTTCAACGCGTACGCTCCACCTCATTACTATTATCTTGCGAACTCGCTTCTCCCTCATATTGGTCGTTCACCTTCTCACTTGCAGGTCACGCAAGCCGCTAATACCGCACCCATTTCTTGTCTTTCTTTTCAGCTTTGACATTCTTTCTCTCATAGTATAAAAACTCCCTACTATACACACACACACACACAATACTTGTGCCGACCGGCAACATGAGCTACGCCGAAGAGTTTGACGGGGCCATCGGCGTGGACCTCGGCACGACCTACTCCTGCGTTGCGGTCTTCCTCCGTGGTCAGGTGGAAGTCATTCCGAACGACATGGGCAACCGCACCACTCCATCTTGCGTGGCCTTCTACAACGGGGACGTGCTGGTCGGCGACGCGGCAAAGTCGCTGCTGGGCCGTGGCGCGACGGGTGTCATCTTCGATGCGAAGCGCATGATCGGACACCGCTTCAGTGACAAGAGCATCCAGGAAGATCGTCCGCGGTGGCCGTTCCCCGTGTCGGCGGGCGACAACGACAAGACCCAGATTGATGTGCAGTTCAAGGGCGAGGAGCTGCACCTGGCGCCGGAGCAGATCTCCGCCAAGGTGCTCGCCTACTTAAAGGAGTGTGCGGAGCGACACTTGGGCAAGCGGGTGAGGAAGGCCGTCATCACCGTCCCGGCCTACTTCAACGACGCTCAGCGGGAGCGGACGAAGGCGGCGGCGACCATTGCGGGCCTGGAGCCCCTTCGCATCCTCAACGAGCCGACCGCGGCGGCGCTGTGCTACGGCCTCGGCATTGGCAGCGGTACAGGAGAGCAACAGGGTGCCGACAAGCCACACAACGTCGTCGTCTTCGACTTCGGCGGTGGCACCTTTGATGTGTCCGTCATCACGATCGACTGTGGCAGCTTCGCGGTGCGTGCGACGGCCGGCGACACCCACCTCGGCGGCCAGGACATCGACTCCAAGCTGCTCCAGTTTGTGCTGAAGGACATTCAGAATCGATTTCAGGTGAATGTGGCAGAGCAGCCGCGCCTGCTGGCGAAGGCACGAACAGTGTGCGAGCGAGTCAAGCGGACGCTGTCGCACTCAACAACAGAGGAGCTCGCCTTGGACGGAGTGCTGGCGAACGGCGAGGAGTACACGGTGCCCATCTCGCGCGCGAAGCTGGAGGAGCTGAATGCGTCTTTGTTCGAGCAGTGCATGAGGGTGGTGCAGCGCGCACTGAAAGACGCTGGGATGAAGATTGAGGACATTGACGAGGTTGTGCTTGTCGGCGGCAGCTCGCGTATTCCTAAACTCAACGAGATGCTGAAGGCGTTCTTCAAGAAGGAGAAGCTGTGCAATTCTGTCCACCCTGACGAGGCAGTCGCCATTGGAGCCGCGGTGCAGGCGAGTATCCTCACCACCTCACCTGAGCAGCAGTCGGAGAAGACGGCGTCGGTGGTGCTCATGGACGTCGTTCCGCTCAGCATCGGTGTCGAGATCGACAATGGAAAGTTCGACGTGATCATTCCCCGCAACACAACCATTCCGTACAAAGCCACGAAGGAGTACAGCACCGTGGAGGACTACCAGGAGGACGTGGACGTGTACGTGTACGAAGGCGAGCGCCCGCTCACGAAGCACAACCACAAATTAGGCGAGTTCACCTTGGAGGGCATCACACGCGCCAAGCAAGGTGTGCCGACCATCACGGTGACCTTCTCGATAGACGCAAACGGACTTCTCACCATCACCGGTACGGAGGAAGTCGCCAACAAGAAGCAGACGCTGGTGGTGCAGAACGACGAGCGCCTTTCCGAGAAGGAGGTGCAGGAGATGATTGAAACGGCGAAGAAGTTCTCGAGGGAGGACGCCGTCGACGGCGCCCGGGCAGCCGCAAAGCGCGACCTGGAGGCTGCGTTGGAGACGCTGTCGGCTGCCATTGTTGCCATGCCCCAGCCGCCCTCGGTGAAGTTACAGAAGAGACTGGACGCCTTTGTCCCCCGCACGCACGAGTGGATAGCGCGGCAACTGCCCTCCTACACCACCACTGCTGAGGTGGAGGAGAAGACGAAGAAAATCGCAAAGTTGGCGAAGAAGGCGTTGAAGAAGGTGCAGAAGGAGGCGAGCGGCGACGCACCGGCGGCGAAGCGCCACCGCAGCGAAAACGGCGAAGACGCAGCGCCGAAGTCGTCGGACGACAGCGATGACGAATCGTGAAAGCGACGTGTTGTTTCTCTCCAATTTCTGTGGTGGACAGAGAACAAGACGAGTGTTTCGCTTCTCTTGATGGGTGTATTATTATTATTATTATTATTGTTGTTGTTATTCCTCTGTCCTCAGCCATGGAAATGGAGCCGGAGAACGTAGGTGTGCACCATTCCTCTTCACCGCGCGAGGACAAAGGCAGTTTGGGTTTCGACTCGACATGGCTGAGCTGCCAGGGAAGGACCTTATACGACGCTCACAGGATTTTTCTTCGCTCTAGTTGTTAGCCTCACAATTTGCTTGACCTCTCCTACACCTGTTCACCACTCCCCCTCCCTTCTCTCTTTCTGCCGTGCATCTCTGCCTTCATTTGAATTGGTCCTCGAAAAACAATAACAATGAAAAGTTACTTTTTCTGCCAGAAGTACTCCTGTGTCTTCCTGACTTGTTTCTTCCTTGTCCTGCACAAACACACAGAACCCGCATAACAATGCCGCCTCCGCCTCGTGAGCGCTACCACTCCAGCCCCAGGTCCGCGGGCTACGCAAGACAGCAGCGGTATTCAAAGAAAGAAGACACGCGTCACACTAGCAAAAAGACAAGCAGGCCTGCCACGGCCTCGTCGTCCGCGGCGTCCCGCGCGGCTGCGCCAAACGCACGGGAGGTGGCGCTGCGCGAGGCACTGGCTAAGGCACTCACCAACCCCAACGCGAGCGCCGGGGCGACGTCCTCCTCCGCGCTGAGCGAGGTGGACACCTACGGCAACGGCTCGCCGACGGATCGCCTGCAGTTTGGCTACAGCCCAGCCGTCGCGGCAGAGGCTGCTGCATTTCACTCTCGTTTCGCCGCGGCGGATTGGATAGCGGCGCGCAAGCGCAATGGACATCTCGTCTTTGCCAAGAAGCAGAAACTGAGCCCCCTGAATTGTGAGCCGGTCACTTCTATTCTGAAGCTGCAGCGGCATTGGAAAAAAATTAACGCGTTTCAGTCTGACGTGCACAGCGGGAAGTCGAAACTGAAGGCCGCGGATTTGGACCAGCTGCTCGACATGTTAGCCTCCAAGCAGCGCATTGGCGAAGACGAGTAACGTTGACTCCCTTCGCTTTGTTGTTGTTGTTGAGCAAGGCCCAATCAAACAAAGGGATGGAGATCCACGTTTTTTTTTTCTGAGAGGCTCAAACCAAAGGTGTGCTCTGCTTCTTGATAACGCGTGAGCGGAGGGGGAAAGCACCGTTGGCGCCGAACGAAGTATTTTATTGTCGAGTAACGATTAAGTATTACGGCGTGTGCAACTGTCATTACCGCTGTTCTCTCTTGGGGGGCGTTTTTTTTTCGCTTGGATTCCGCCCTCACTAAGTAAAAAGGGAGCGAGAGAGCAATAGTAACAACCGAAAAGAAAACAGGCTGCTTTGCACGCCGAGTTGGTGTAACACTGCTCAGGAGAGAGATGCCTCTCAGATGATGGGAAATGGAAGATAAAGGACTGCAAGTGCAGTGGAGCACTCACGTCTTTCCATGAAAGCTGTCGGAAAGTGATGTTGGGAAGTAGCTTCCGCGACAGTAACAAAACTACACGTCACCCGCTAACTAAAAAAGTAAACGCGCCTTTTCTTTTCCCTCTCTAATGCTCTACTGGAAGGGGGAAAGCACACACACCTTGAGCGCTTGAGGATCATAGCAGGAATTATTGTTTTCCGGTTCTTTCCGTGTGGAACGCGGACGATGTTCGCATTCTTCACCTTTACTTTACCTCACATACGTTCTCTTTTCTCTTCTTTTTTGATGGATATACATCCTCTTTTCTATCATCGTTGCCACAATCACGTGCTGCGCCTATAGGCTCCTCGAAAGTACAATCTTCGCGCGTTCAACAACACGCAAAACGAGGTTGCGCGTGCGCGCCGTGATTAGCGACTTTGCTCGTTGAGTTCCGGACGCACCGTGCGTGCCCTTTCTTTGTGTTCTGCTTTGTGGAAAAGTAGAAAAGTATCGTCCTTTTTTGAATCACGTATTTGTTCTATCGATTTATGCTTGTGCCGTTTGTGCAAGTTGACTTCGTCTTCCACATCTGACAATAATAAAAAAAAAGAGAAATGTCGAAGCCGGAAAAGGCAACTCGGCAAGGCCACACCGACACGGAGTCTCCGGCGGACGAGACGGCAGTCCCCATGCCTGCTGGACCACCGCCGAAGCTGCGCATCGACTTCCCTCCCGTACGATCAGCGGATGAGATGGCGAAAAAGCAGCGCGCTGCGGTTAAGCAAGAGGAGATCCGCGACGATATGGAGAACGACATCCCCCCTGTCATCCGAAGTGTATTGGAGCTGTCGCACTTGATGATGAGTGGCCACAGCCGGTGGCTGCGCGGCTCACCGGGGTACCAGGGCGGCCTCTCCCACAAGGGTAAACCTTTCTGCTTCGCCAGCGGCTACCGCGACTCGCTGCGACCGCTGGATATCGAAGACAAGGGAAACCACATGAAGCTGAAGGACCCGCTGGTGTACGGTACCCTTTCGCTGCCCATCACGGCGGCCTACCTGTGCGATCTGCACGGAAGAGGCATCTTTGACCTGCAGAGGCCGATCGTTGAGTACCTCCCAGAGCTGCAGGGGAAGCTGTCGGAGGAGGTGACGGCGCGCAGCATCTTGTCCTTCACACACGGAGTCGAGGATGCGGATTTGCTGAAGGACGCCGGTGTGCATCCGTGGAGGTCGTTCTGCTCCCCCTCCCTCTGTGTCAGCACGCACACGCACCTTTACGAGCCCATCAACCGCTTCTTGGCGGGGGGAAGGACGGCGTCCTCCGCCACGGCACCCGCCCTTACCGGTCAGCGGCAGCGGGCCAACCTCGTGCAGTACGTCTGCTCCTCGCGCCGTATCACCCACAACTTTTGCCGCTCGCTTCGCCGTGCCCGCGTTAGCCACAGCTCGGTCGCACTGCTTCTGGCGGCGGTGGAGACGCAGCTGAAGGGGCGCAGCTTCGAGGAGGAAATGAAATCTGGCTTCTTCGAAAAGGCGCAGAGCTACGGCGCCGGCTATGGCGTACCGACGCTATGGAAGAACCCGAACGAGCTTTTCTATCAGCCTACGGGGCAGGCCCTCCAGCACGTAAAATTTAGGCAACCTGTGCCGATTAACTCTCCGCTGAACTGCGGTCCGGCCGTCTTTAACGGGTCCTTGAACCTTTACGCCCCTTGCGAGGACTACGGCAAGCTGCTCCTGCTGTCGCTCGACACCATCATGGATGCCCGCGAGATTCTCGGCGTCCCTGCCCAGGCGGGCAGCTCTCCGTACTACGACTTCGGTGTGCGCTACATCCCGTCCAAGAAGGAGCTGCAACTTACAAAGTCTCTTCTGACCCCCCTCGATGCCATCCCCGCTGCATCCTCGTTCCACTACAACTGTGAGCAGGATTTGGGCTGCTTCGGTATCGCATCATGTGGCACGCGCAGCGCGCGCGTTTTCGCAAACAACCTGTCACGCATGATTCACCACTTGTTTGTGAAGCACGTCTTGGCGAAGGGGCTCGACCCGCTGAAGCAGGTGGACCTCGATAATCCTACCGAACAAGTCGAGGCGTCCGACGGCGAGATCCAGAAGGTGCTCAAAAAGCAAAAGTTCACATCGTACTTCAAAAAATTCGATGCTCACACGCGTCTGTAGTGTCCGTCGATGCGGGAGGGCGACGCGTAGGGAGGGAGAAACAGAGCTCTTTTCTTCGTCACACCGGCGTTAACGATGATGCAAGAGAGGCGAACGTTGCGTCGTCGAGGTAGTCGGTCGAGTAATGGACTTCGCTGCCTCAACGAAGGGGGGGGGAGGGCTTGACGAAATGCTTTTTTTCGGGATTGCAGATCAGAGGCATGGTGACCACTCTCACTCGGTGCGCCCGAGTGGGAAAACCTGTTGTCAGCGTGTAACGCTTACCTGCTTCACCATGCACAGGGACCGCTTTTTTCTGGTTACTATCACGTGGATTTTTTTTCAAGAAGAGCCGTTGCCGTTAAGGAAACGAAAGACGTCTTCCTTTTCAGGTGTCCCACGCATTGGGGGACTGCCTTTCAGGCGCGGTGCACGATACCAACCTGTGGCTTGCTCTTAAAGCTATCAAATGAAAAACAGCTGTTTCCTTTGAAGCCAAGATGCGTGTGAAGAAAACGGGCGGGCTCAATCGTGGCAGTCGAAGCTGTTGCCCACCCTCCCTTTTCGGCTGTTCTTCACCCGTCTTTTGTTTTTTTCTTGTAGTTGGCCTTTTTGCAGACAGCATTTTCATCTGCTATGCCGCACTGCCAAGTATATACATTGTGCAACTCGCGTCTTGATCCCTCGGCGAAGCTTCATTTGCGCAGGTGTACTTTCTGTCGCGACGAGCCTTTCTCGTTGGAGTGACGCGGCCGTTCGCATCAAAGACAAAGCTATGTCTGAAAACAGTGCGACACACCCCGCTGGTGTGCCCGGCTTGCGGGAGCTGCAAGTGAAGTACGAAGCTGTCCTGGCCGAGAACGAGCAACTTTACCACGACCTGCGAACGGAACAGGCGCAGCGCGAGAGGTACGCAGCAGCGTATCGACGCGTACAGGACGATGCTCAAAGGGACCAGGATATTCTCCGACGGCTCTATGCGCAAATAGAGCCCACGGTCAACACAAATCGGGAGCCTAACGCGCACGAGGGCGGCGTATTCTTCGGTGAAGGTGCCTGGAACACGTTGCGATTGAACAGTAATAGCAACGCGGTGGCTTCGCACGGCAGTGACCGCATTGATAGCCTGGAGCGCGACTGTGCCTATTTACGAGGGAAAGTTGAGAGCCTCCACTTGGCTCTGCGGCGCTACGAAGAGGGCGAAGACGCCAAGGACCCGCACGCGCTTCCCACCTCGGTGCCTTCCCCCTCCCTTCCCGCCATCTCTGAGCTCGATAAAAGAGGCGCACCGTCCACTCCCTCTTTGAATGCGGAAGATGCACTCGCGACAGAGCGGTCGGGCCGTTGTCGGGCTGAGGAGCAGCTCGCGCGGTGCCGTGATACACTGCAACGCCTGCGCGACGATGCCACACAAAAGGAGTTCTTCTTTCATCAGCAGCTGACCGCACTGCAGGAACAAAACGCCGCTTTGCTGGACGACTTGGATATGTGGGTCACAGGAAAGCAGCGGACGTATCTAGAGAGCACCTTTCCGTCCAAGCTCGTTGAGCCAGCAAGACAGGACACATCGCCTTCTTCCCCACCGGTCCCTGCCGGGCCATTCGTCAACATCTCCGAGAGTGCAATGCCAAAAACTTCGCGTGCAGAGGAGGCATTGCAACTGCGACAAATGCAGCAGTACCTGAAAGACCAGGAAGAGGTGCTGGCACTGAAGGACAAGAGCATCGAGCAGCTAGAAATGCGTGTGCGGGAGCTTGAAAAGCGGCTGGCAAACGCAGAAGTGCCTCCGGGGCGACTCCCAACTCCTTCGGCATCTCCCCTTTCGGCCACTATTCCAGTGAACAATCTCCTGCAACTGCGACGCGAAGCTGCCGCGGTAGAGGCTGCC